ATAAACAATACCTACACCCATCTGTGTAGCCCAAAAACATGTATTTACAAAGGGACCCGACAACAGGCTTAGCCTATATACACGAAAGCCTTTTCCTATATATATATTTGTATCCAATTATTTCAATTTCATTAATATATTAGAGTTATGGGTGGAAGACAGGACAAAAACGAAAAAACATGATTTATAAACTATAATGAACGAACACATATATCATTCACTCGCATACTACCATTCATAATTGGTATATTTGATATCTTTAGAACTTGCATGTAGAAAGATATTACTTATAAATTGAGAATCGTTTAGTTTTTAGCTCACCTGGCCCTTCGGGCCATTAAGAATAGAAGGAAAGGAAACAGGTGATGGTGATGTGAAACAAAAGATCGTTGTTAATGAATAGAACTTAGTCAACTCTTTTAGAATGGATGATGAAGTTTTGTACAAATGAATAAATTAAAGCATTTTCATCTTCTGTAGGTTCATCATTCCCGAACAAAAGTAAATCAGTCGAGAATTGATGGTTGATTTCGTTAATTGTATGTAAACGCAGTTGAGAAAAAAGACAACAATGTAATAGATAATGTTCATTGGTTTCATTTGCTTGCATGCAAGAACACAGAGGACTATCAATTAGATTTCTCTGGTATAGATAAAACTAAAGAGAACTACACTCCATTCTTAATCTAGCCTGCTATATCTGCCCCAGTCTGGTACCATTAAAGTAGAAAATTTGAATTGTGTAAGCGGGCTTGCGTATATAGGTTTTAAGTTTATAAATTGAAGGGTCGTTCTTGACATAGTCAGGCAAGGAGTTCATGATACTGATGACAGATGGCAAAAGAGATTTATTATAGAGACTCGTATGACAAACTAGTGGACGAAAATTATTACCAGTGCGAGTATCATGGTTGTGGTAATTTCGGTTACGCTGAGTTAGAATATTTAGAAGATATTGAGGAGCCAGACCATGAACCATTTTGTGGAAAAGAATAAGCTTTTGCTGTTTACGTTTTTCCTCGAGGGGAAGCCAACCTGTTTCAGTATACAGTTTAATTCTACTTGTGAGTCTAGTGCCGCCAGTGACTATAAGTGCTATCCATCTTAAGAACCGGTAAGAGATGTTAAAATGTCTTGAGTTCTAGCTACCAAATTTGGTCTGATGTTACCTATATGTCAGATTCATGTAACAAAAGAAACATGTGAGAGATACAGGCCCTCTTGGCCTCTTGTTGAAATAGGAACGAGTAGAAATAGGTGTATTTCTACCAACAAGTACACGATGTCTGGAAAGAGTGCTGGAATATTTCATTAGTGGTAGATAGTAGGACAATAACGGAAAAAAAAACATAATTACACTCACTCACTCTCATATATTACCATTTGTACTTGTTATATGTTGTATTGTTAGAACTTACATATATAAAGACATTACATAAAAATGAAAAAAATAATTAATAGTATCATTAACTGTATTTCTGTTTGTTTCTAGAATAATGTATTAGAATATAGGAGATAGCGAGCAGCAACTAATTAAGCATCATAGTTATAACACCGGTATTTTGAAAACTTTGAATATATATATATGTGTAAATATTTGTATTTACGTTTCGTTGTTCTTTTTCCTTAATCTAATTGCCATTTTGATGAAATGTATATAAAATGTATGCTTATTTTGTCTCAATAGTGAATATCGTCATCACACTCGCCACTCTGTTGTGGGAGACCCAGGTCAATCCTGGTGGAAATAATAGTACAACTGGAAAGTATTTAAATACTGCAAACATATATAAACATAAACAACTAGTTATAAACAACTCATTTCCCATTACTTGGTACATTTTATATAAATATATGTAACCTTGTTAATTTGTTTTTAACTGCATTCATACAACAACAGGACATTCGAACATCTTGTAGGCAGTGAGTTTTACATTCTTGAATTGTGAACTTAACCTAGAAAATTGCTTTTATTTAGCTATCGAAGTCTTGGTGTTAACCTCTTGTGAATGCCTTTTGTCCGTCATAGTAACCACTTCAGTTAATTTTGCAAGTCAAATTTATGAATTACACATGGATCAAATCTGCCAGAGGTGTGAGCCCAAAAGAGGTCAAATTGACTAAATTTCAAACAGTCTTCCTATTCAGGCACAGAGATGTTTTTCAGTCAATATTCCAGAGAAAAATAGGGTTGGTCAGTAAGTAGGCAATTCTATTTGTGTTTTTTTTTTTTTTTTCATGGATCAATATATTCTTAGAGGGTAATAACAAATGTAAGAAAAATAAATTTCTATTCATTTCAATGGTTATTATTCTGTCAAGAATGTGGTCAGGATCCCAAGACCATAACAGGAAGGAAGTTCATGTGATCTTTGCCGGACTATTTAAATGATCTTCATGGATATAAAGTAGGTGATAAAATGTTCCCTAAGGTCCACAGGAAAAAAATGATGTAGGTCATGATCAGGTTATCCGAACCATATGTAAATCTTGTTATTGGCCTTACTGTAGTGTAAATGGGGAAATAACACTTTTGGGTACAAATTCAAAGTTGGTTGGAATGACTATCATGTGACTGAATTTTGATGCTATGAAAATTAATAACCTGACCCTTCCCTAGGGCCTGTGCGGGGGGGGGGGGGGGAGGACAAAATGGCTGAATTTTCAACAATCTTCTTTTTAAGATCCAGATATGCTAGAATCAAACACTCTTCATGAATGGAAAGGTCCTAAATCTCTATATCTGAAATTGTTATTTCATTACCCCCGTGTCGTTCATTCCTCCACTGCACTACATCATTTTTTTCTGAAAATTGTCAGCAATATATACCATATGTCAGACAATTATGTACCCGCCAAAAATGATATATAAATAATATATGTTGGTCAATCTCAACATGAATTTCTCTCAAGGAATTCAAAAAGCCTTTTGTTCTGTTTTTGTTTGAATTTTATATCACTACAACAAATAACAAAATGGCGTTACAACTCAGGTCCATGTAGCATACATACGATCACTGTTGTATATGTATTATTTATGTGTTGTATTTGCAATGGTCCTGTTTATATCTATTGCAGCATCTGGCTTCTGAAGATACTGGTACAGTGATATCATGCTTTAGGTTCAAAATATATTCACGATGTAATGCTTTCTTACATTACAATGTAAATGATGAAATTGTTTTATTATTAGGTTATTCAAAAGGAATGGATATTGCAGCCATTGCTTCTCCAATATTGGAATATTGAGAAATTGATTGCTGGTTTAGAGCTACAAAATGGGAACCATAATTATATATAATTACTTAATATTGATTTAGAATCATCTTTGAGCTAATTTTATTGTGTTTGCATGTCACCTATAGACCAGGTAAAGCTTGTAAATGAAAGTTGCTGTAACATCATCAGTTCTTTATTGTTTGTCTGTGTGTACTTAAAAATTACCCTGTTCTTTGATGGTTATGACAAGATTAATAGACTCGTACTAACTGTGATTGCTCCTAGGGTTCTGTCACTCGAGCTCCAGCATGGTGACCTTATAACATTGAAATGTTTGAAATCAGTGTCCTATAATGAAAAACACCTACTGGCAATCCAAAGACTACTACCAAAGTTTTCTGCAGGTCTGGTACATGTACCACCCAGGAATACAATCATACTAGCCACTTTAAAGGGTCATACATGGCCGAGATATACAACATAATAATTAGTGAGTTATTGTTGGAAGGTTGTTTCGAAAAAACAAATACATTAGCCCAACTTATGTTTCAATGTAAACATTGACATTTTTTACAAGCCTGGGGCATTGGGCTTGGCAATTTAGGCAAACATGAAGATTTTCATGAACTGACTTTTGAAAAAGTTGGACTGGGGCATATCTTCTTCACTATTTCACCTGTAGTAACCAGATTTAGTGTACAGGGACATCTTTCGATGGTGGAGTGAATACTGTAAAATTTAGGTTATTGTGACGTATGACTTGACCTTTGACCTTTACTTTTGAAAATATTTGTACGGGGCATATGCTTTTTCACATGGAGTAACCAGATTTGGTGAACACGGACATCTTGGGTGACCTCACTGTGACCTATATACTTCCTGACATAAGTGTACTGTTTGTGTATAGAAATTCTCACCGGTGGCCATGTGGGTCTATGGATTGCCTTGCAATACTTTGCCTTGTTAATTAATATTTTCTATGCACAGTAGAACATACTTCTTTCATTTTGTCTTGAGAAAATTTTACCCTAAAGGGATCAGGCAATATATTGACAAGGGTGTTAAAATAAAAGTAAATAAGTAACAACGAAAAGGCCTACATGGAATATCTGACAGTTTTAATTAAAAGAATAGTTTTTAAACTAACATTCATTTCATTTTCATGGAAGAATATTTAGCGCATGTATGTCCTAAGAAGGGATTCTGTTCCTTTTGTTACCCTAATGTTCTTGGTTTGGGCGCCACAGGCGCCCAGATCTAGTCACTATCATTACAAAGGTGTGTACTCGCTTATAGGCAGTGCCTATTTCATATTATGGTATAGTATTTTTACCTTGCGCATATATTGAACAAATGATAACCTGTTTGACAGGTAATACGCTTTTTATACCCAGCGAGACCCATAATCGTTACCAAGCAAAGACAAACTAATATGTCGGCACTTCCTTAGAAACGATAGACCAAAGAGATGGAGAAGATCTCAAAACCAGAAAAAAACATTTTATTTGCACTATCAGCTTTAAGTTTATTTCATCAGAACCGAGAAACTTTCGCCCACTTAAATATCCGCCCTTCACTGTAAAATCTCTATTAGCCGAGTTTGAGTTTTGCCTTCACCTGTAAAACTATAGTGGATCAATTGTGTACACATAAATCCTCAGGAAAATATCCTTATCTTCAGTAATTTTATTTCATAGAAGGTCTTACCTGAAGGAGTTTCAATCCAAGAAAGCTCTTTCGTATTCAAAGAAATAGATATACATGATAAAAGGACCACATACCTGAGAGGTAGGAAAGAAGGACACAGATTCCTAAAAGCTTCGCCATTTTGTCGTCCGGTAACTGTAATGACGAGAATGGTTAACTAGTTAAGTAAGAACACGTCACCATATCCGGTAGTCTGTCCTACAATTTAAATTGATTACAATTCAAAAGAACCTATACATAAGTAAAATAACAAAGAGCACAGTCAAGTCTGTGTATATTATCATGTATATGTCTATTCAATCTTACCCAAAACTTTCACAAAAAACGCTACAAAGGGTTCCTGTTTTGAAGTAATACATATGCACATATTATATATTTTTTTTATTATTCTTATTCTTTGTACCTGTACATACTGATATATCACGCCAGATATGTTCAGAACTATCAATGTTCAGTAGTGCTCGTGGAAAGAAATGTTCAATTAAAGAAAAAAAAAACAGAAATACTGATTTAAGTGAGAATGTCGTTCATTAATTTTATGCTACGTCCACATTAACTCATTCTTCCCAGAAGACACCTTGAACTCTTCTAATTCAAAGGTTGGAAAAGTTCATAATGAAATTACAGGGGGCACTGAATGAGTTAACAACAAATAATCAACGGTTACATCACCCTGAGACAAACTAGTACTAGTGCGATTTACGATACCANGGGGGGGGGGGGGGGGGGGGGGGGGGGAGAGAGAGAGTTTCCAAAACATTTAGGTACCATTACAATTAAAGGTATGCCTCATTAACAAACCCATATTGAATAATTCTGATTCGCAACGATGAATGGTCCTACGACGGTTTTTCTCCGGGAACTTCGGCTTTCCTCCACCACCAAAACCTGGCACGTCCTTTAATGACCATAGCTGTTATTAGGACGAAAAACTCTAACAAACCAAACCTAAGGCGTCAAGGGGCTATGGAACACTACATATATCTAACTAGCCTCCTATGTACTGATCAACCTAACTGTTTGTACTAGCTAGGTTCTGAATTACCTCATATGAGTGTCCTTCTATCATGTTGTTCGGGGAAATATGACCTATTAATTAGATGACCCCCGAATAACAAACGATTGCAACAAGGAATTAACATAACCCAGAATAGCCCAAAACGACAATATGCAGGTAACTGGTCTTTTTGACAAATGAAAACTGGATGACATATCACGTGTGTATATCTGTGTATAATTAATCATACGTAAAGTCAGGTCTACATTTCATCATTTATGTTTGTCGGTAAGCTTGAACTAGTGTGTTTTTTAGCCAACTTTAGCCAATCAAAAATAAGAGAAAACATTCACCTGGACGACGGGCATGTTGTCGAGGGGGAGAAAATGTCAATGTATTGCTGGTTAGGACTAGTTTTGGCCATGGGAAAGTGAGTACAAGTTGTATTTTGTTACAATAACCATGAATGAATAAGTATATTTGACTGTCAAATCCGTTTAAAGTAGCAATTCTCTAATGTTTCTTGTAAGTGAAGTGAGACTTGGGCTGGTTGCTCGAACACGTGTGTACAGTATACGTATTAAGCAAACTTTACAACGTTGTAAAGTATTAATAATACATTAAATTGTTTGTAAAATATCAGCAAAAGAAGGGTTGTTAGTAATATTTAGCTGTCAGCGAGTAATTTGGCAATATTTTGTATTTTTCTATCTGAAGTGTAAATCGAAGGTCACATATGTAGCTTTCACTTCCGGTGTCAATCAGAGGCTTTCTCTATAAAATGTAAACAAACGTGTATCGAGATAGTCAACACATAGTTTTGGTCTGACAGGCTCCGTTGTGAACGAGTGATGGGGTCGGAACCTAACCAGGACAGCTGGGCATAGCTTGAGCCCAGGCAGTACCAGTTCAACGTATATAACATGGGCGAACGACCTGAACTTTTTCCGGACATCTGAGTGTACGTCTATAGCTGACCACACAGACCATCCCTCTACGGCTCGAGCAGCACATCAACGTGGACGGCGATACAACTGGGGTTCACGCGCCGGGATTCTCTCATTTGTGTGAAGTGGTAAAGGATCCAGTGGCTTCCAATATGTAACGTTCTGAACAAAACTGTGTATCTGAACTGTGAATTAAAACTGTTTATTTGAAAGATCATTCATTATAATGTATTGGATCATGCTATACTAAGAGTGAATTGGAGAGAATAATAGAATAGTTTAGAGTCACTATTATGTGCTTGTTGTATGGTTAATATTTAGAACAACCATTAAATTGGTTATTTTTATTCTTCATATTGAGATTGTAATTCTCCAGTTACATATAATTCTTTAAATACCTCAGTAGCCATAGCAGTCAGTATTGTGATTTTTTATCTGGCTGGTGGAGAGATGAAATCTCAGGGACATTTGGATTCTGTAGCACTTTTTTTTTGTATTTACATTTGTTATTTGAACATTTGTATTCGGGTTTGTGTATTCCTTTAACCTGGCACCATTCCTTCGATTTAACTCTACAGTGTCACAAGTTTAATAATGAGGCGTAACGATTGAACCAGAGACTATTACCGAGGACAAGGGACTGTTTCGGCCATACCGCCTAACACTGCTCGTATGCACAACTCTATATCATATACTAATTCAATCCTTACGATTTTAACACACTTACTGCTAGACGTCTCTGTCTGTTGATCGGATTTAAAAATAGTTATTTTCTGTATCGTTCTTATTTTCAAAAGTAAAATTAAACAGGAGATCCCCTTAATGGAAATTAGTGCCTTTTATAATAATCTACGTCAGTAAATCGCTTGCTTTACCTGTTTATAAACAATACTGTAGTTCAAGCATTTTATTTACATCGACAATAAAACACAAACACGGATGTGGATTAAAGCAGAAGTTTGCCTGAACATCACAATCTATCCAATGTACCAAATACTTCAATAATTTCCCTGCCGGCCATAACAAACAAAGATTCTTATTGTTTCGTTTGGCATTAAATACCATTGATCGGTTTGAAATGAACAAAATGACCGTAGAACACTGTGAAAGTGTTTATTGGCTTTCTGTCTGACTTAAACTTTTAAATCTTTGCCTTGCATTTCTTGTGACTATAAGACAGCCTGACGTTGTTAAATGCACTGCGGCTTTTTCACATTCAGAACGTTTTTGTATATTATATTTTGTTCATTTCAAATTTAAGGATCCCTGAACCACCCCTATTCATAAGTCAATCAAGGCTTTGACGTCGGGTGTCTCTCCTTTGTTATCGTTAAAGGACAATGAGTCATACAAGCGATTGGTCACTTGTTTTTTTTTTTACCTGAGACCAATCAAATAGCTAACCGTGTGCTTCCAATGTTTATATGACAATTTCCAGGTGTGCGGAGAGCGAAAGTGAGCGTGTCACAAGTAAACGTCATCAGCGGGGAAGCCTGGGCTGATACTTTTGAGGTAAGAAAATAATAATGAAAATATTGTCATTACTCCTGTTACGGAGTTCGGTTGTGATGAGGTCATCATATTCATGTAAGTCATAGTCTGTTAATGATGACGACATAATTATCATACTGAAGAAAAATGTCATGTGACCAACACTGTACTGGAAGAGATATAACACATGTCATAGAATTGAGTTGTGATGTTGTCATTTTTATCATAGTGAAAGTAAAACGTGCAGTCTATCCGACTTAATTTTGTTTATCGCATTTCGGTGGATTTCTTACTCCCTAGAATTTGCCGTAACCTTAATTGCCATATATTCTAGTATACACACGTCTGTCGTTACTTATTTGCAATTAGCCAGCACTCCTCTAATTGTTTGAAATTCATATAATTAATGGGTTTTATACACCTCCTCAACCTGTTTTCACAGTAGTGGAGACCAATTCAGATTCCCAACTTTTCGTCCCCTAACATCCCCGATGTGTCCTAAAAGGACGAAACAGCTGTGTCGTGCAATGCAATTTGTTTCGGGTATACGGTATCAATTACCAATGTTATAGGTGCTGTCCAATATGTGTGTTATATCAGTGTATTTTGTTCATGAATTAACAAATCATTTTTACGAACCTGTCAATACTTTACTCGCTGAAATCTATTAATTTAATTTTTAATATAAAATATTTCGTTATCACCACTTCTTACAAAATAATACACAAAACGTCATAATACCCTTAAGACATAAATCATATAATATTTATAGACACCGTTCAGTTTTATATACCCTTTACGAATTACCTTTTTCTAGTACGCCAATGGTACACCTGCATGAAATGATTTGTTAAAATATGAAATAGGAATTTTAAACATCATTAATAGTCTCCGGAACCGAGAAACCCAAACGTTTGATGAAAGGTAATGTGTTTTAACAGATTTGATATTCATTAGAAATAACTATTGTTAAAATTGTAGAAAAAAAGGTAATTGGGCTATAGGCAAAGCCTATGCACGCCCCCTCCTACACAGATATAAAGGGAGGTATGTCTTTCAAGACAGACTGTAGAATACAAAACAGTCTGTATATTAGTAGACTGACTAACAGCCAAAATATTTGTGGAGTGTTTCCCAGCTGCATGTTACTACTTGCTTATCTCCCCCTTATTTAGAATTCTAGACATCATAGTGTCCAAATTATTTAAGTTATTTTTTTCTTTATAATTCAATATTCTAAAGACGGGGGCCAGTTTAGTATATTAACAGATAAAACTAGTTTAAATCTTCCAAGTTTACGATATCGATGTACTGTCACCCGGTATCACTCCCCCCCCCCNCCACACACACACACACACCACACACACACACACACACACACACACACCCATCTCAGAGCCCCGTGTTAAAAACCTTGATATGGTAGAAATGACTTGTTTGTGTCTATGATATGGCAATGAGGTAATGCAAAGTGGATGTCTCCACAACAGGTCGTAATTTCACAATTTGTTTACCCGGTAACTAGGAGTTATAAGCGATAATACAAACACGCCATGTTGAGCTCTTCCTAACTACCATTGTTTGTAACTTAAGGTGCATGCTATCTATATTGTTTATAGTATGTCCTTTTTTGTACTGGGTTCCGTCCAAAATCTTCCTTGTAAACTGGTGTATTATACCTGCTCAACCCTATGCAATGTTTGTATAGAATGTACGTGTATATCTATACAATAGGACAATGAGCATGTGTGCATTGCTTATGCGCGAACTTTAATCGTCAAATACGTAAATAGATGGAGGTTTACCTTATATGACCGACAAAATCTTTAAAAGATCTTTGAACCGGAACGACGCTTCTCTAGTCAATAATAGCAGTTGAATTTAAACAACTTTATCAATGAGGCATTCACACAAACGTGTACATTGTTTTTAGAACTTAAGTGTCTTTGTAGGGTGTTTTAAACGAACGGCAATATTAAAGGGGTTTTAAAAAGAAAATGGAGCAACAATAGTCTTATATAGATTATGGTAGAATTTCTAGACTTTAAGGTCATGAAATCCTTTATTTATCGAAAAAAACGCGTAATGTTTAACTATTGGATGATTTAGTCGCAAATAAAGATGCCGAGGTCATTTGATCATAGTTCAATTACCAAAGAAGAGCTGCAATGTCTTCAATAACGTTATAGGTGTATGCAATGTTGAAATGATAAAAGTGGCTAAAAGGGTATCTTGGAGGGTAAGAATTGAACTGCAGTTTGTAGGATTATTGTATATTGAATGATAGTGTTGAACCAGTTCAGGTTTATATCATTAACAAACACATGCATATCCAAAGAAAATTGTTTATTATTTCTAACCAAAATGTGAAATATAATGTTGATGCATGAAAAAAAAAGTAAATTTGAAATAATATATATCATATAAAGCTTTCCAACAATGAACGTATAATACATGTATCTTTCTTGACAATTACAAATTTAACCTTCACAATTTTACATATATAATTTTCATTTCCTACAAGGTTTCCATTTCCATTGGAATCTACATGTTCAGAAAGTTTAAAATTAATAATTATTTAAATCCATTATATATATTAACATTAATACATCAATTTACAGTTTCCTACATGTGTCTTTAAGTCGACAGGTAACTTTTCATTTTCCTTACCTTTCAATTGACATTTTCCTATGACTTTTTTGACATGTCTTTTATTTATTAGTACAGGCTCAAAGCAGTTGGTCATTTACACCTAGTATCAAATTCAAATATAATGTTAAACAAGCTGTATTATAAATTTAAAAAAAATACATCATCTAAATCTATCCAACAGTGAACATAAAATATCTAACTTGACAATTACAAATTTAGCCTTCACAATTTTACAGATATAATTTTCATTTCCTACAAGGTTGTATTTCCCTTGACATCGACATGTTCAGAAAGTGTAAAATTAATAATTATTTAATTTCATTCATATTAGATATATATTAACATTAAGACGTACTATATAGTTTCCTACATTTGTATTTAAGTCGACAGGTAACTTTTTATTTTTCTATGATAGTTTGACACGTCTTTCATTCATTAGTACAGGCTCAAAGCAGTTGGTCATTTACACCTAGTTTCAAATTAAAATATTATGTTAAACAATCTGTATTATAAATATCACTTTAGAATAATTGAATATATACCATGTATGTGATGTTACGACACTTTTCATTGATTACAACAACACACTAAACACTCTGTAGTGATAAATACCACGTGAGTATAGCTTAATATCTACCATGTGTGTGATGTAATGACACTTTTCATTGGTAACAACCACACACTAAACACACTGTATTGATGAATACCACTTCAGTAAATAGTTGAATCTCTACCATGTCTGTGATGTTACGACACTTTTAATTGGCTACAACCACACACTAAACACACTGTATTGATAAATACCACTTAATTATAACTTAATCTCTACCATGTGTTTGATGTTAAGACACTTTTCATCGGTTACAATCACACACTAAGCACACTGCATTGATAAATACCACTTAATTATAACTTAATCTCTACCAAGTGCGTGATGTAACGACACTTTTATTGGTTACAACCACACAATATTGGACGATAAAATATGAGCATGCATATATTATTTTCGAACTAACTCATTCACCCCTGAAGACACATTTTAATTCTTCCTATTCAAGGGATGGAATATTTCATTATGAAATTTCAGGGGTGAATGAGTTAACCATGCACGTGCAACACTCTGCAGGAATTGGTTTCTTTTGTCGAGTGATGCTAAACGCATATGTTAGAGATATAGTGATTGTGCTAACAAATAAAACAGTTAACCAAATTTAAGATCAGAATTCTCCACTTAACTTGTTCGGAATGGTACTTGAAAACGTGTTCGTAACATTAAGAGTGATTGCAGAGTTAATTCTCTGTGGAATCGAGAAACCAAATGGCAACTGCAAGTGCAACTTGCGGGATTTTCATACCCGAATATAGGGGATTCTTAAATCGTACACATACAGAAACTTCACTCAAGTTGGTCAGAGGGATAGGGCAAGCTCAGGAAGGATGCATCTTCTAGTAAATTAATGATAAATAAACAAATAATAAGGCACATATCATCTTTACCAAATATATCTTAATTTCAAATGTAGCAGGCAAAATGAAGCAACAAGCTCACGATATCAAAAAGGACAAAAACACGAAGTTTGTTAAATACATAAGTAAAGAGCGTGGATATAGGGTTAATACGAAAACACATTTTCATTACAAATTACTTGGTAGAATAGATTTAAACAAGAATTCTTATTTATAAAATTCTTTTGACAAAAATCACTCGGGCTTAAACGGATTTTTTCAGCTGTTTCTCATCCTCAAAATATTTACCACAATCTATGTGGATGTTCATGTTCCTAGATTATCTGTGTGAAGCATGTAGCCACACGTAAGCTGTTATGACGTCTGGTTTGCTTGTTCTAAGTTAGTACCTCTGGTGTTGATTGGGATGGTTTACTGCTGGTTGAGGTGGATAAGCCGGTCCGGCTTGCCCCCCATGTGGCTGAGGTTGGGCTCCATATGGTGGAGGAGGAGGGCCCCCATATGCTGGTTGTGGATAAGCCCCATATGGTTGAGGTTGTCCCCCATACTGTGGAGGAGGAGGATAAGCCGGCTGGGGATAGGCTCCGTAAGGCTGTTGTTGCATTTGCTGTTGGGTGGTACTGTTAACTATAAAAATACATAATGAATGTCTAGTAAGTAAGACTGAAACGATTTTCTGAATATGAATACATGTACAAATGTTTGTGTATAGTTATGCACATTAATCAGTATAAACATCATTCACTGTCATATCTAGAAGTATTTTGCATAATTTGAAATGTTCTTGGGTATTTTCTTTAGTGGTTTGAAGCAATTTAGATTAGTTCGTGCTTCAAACTTTCATGTATTCTCTTTACAAACAGTAGTGAACTATGTCAGTCGAATTCGTTGTGTTATTTCTTTTCGTAGTTCCATAGCAACCACCAAAACCACGAATGTTTATGGTATATTGAAGTTTAATGATTAACATGTATATAACGATATTCTAAAGTGTAATGCTATAGTATATATTAGCAGAGAACTAACAAATTCCATTACTCTATCTGTTCCATCAGATTAAGTTATCGAAATTATAAACAAGATTTATGGATTTTGCTTGACACAACAATGCATAATATTTATAACACAGAATTCAAATAAGTACTGATATTTCTGCGAAACAAAAATCATTTCATATAAAAGAAATATTCAAATAGGCATCATAATGTCATCTACACAGTCAAAATCGAAACAAAAAGGAAATAAGGAGACAGGGTATTCAAAAGAGAGTGTCATTATCCAAAACTAATAAAAGCTGCAAGCAAGAATTAAGCTACGTGTTCATAAAACTGTAATAGTTTTCATATTCAGATTCAGGTATCCAGTGCAATAGCTAATTCCAACAACCCAGGTGGAGTATAAATTGGTCTGGGATGGATGTTGCGGTATCTATGCTGTTGCAATAAGGCGAGATGGCACTATAAATAATAACGTTGAAAGCACGGTCCCACTAAAACAGAACACAATACATCTCCAGCACACACTGGCATACATACCCAGGAAGATATTAGCCAGGTGGCATAGCACTAGTAGTTAGCGCCTGATAAGGCTGCTCCTGCACATTCCTAAAACATGTTTTGATTAGTGTATATCTTAATTTGTATTAATTGTGTATATATTTACTGTTCTTGCCTATTTGATTCGTTGTTAGAGATCTTGAGTTCACGGTTTGGTTATAAGTCATTCACTTGAATCGTCTTAGCTCCATAATGAACACTGGGGCTATGTATCTATCCCAGTTGATATCGTTATGCCTACCACAAATGTAACCCTCTATAATTCTACTTACCGACCGTGACGTTTCCATTTCCACCAGTTTGCCCTGCGACAATAACACCAGTCCTTTTCTTGTTACAGGCCTTGATGACGATGATAAAGACGACGATGAAGGCGATGAAAAAAATACCGCCAATAACTGCTCCGGCAATGGTACCACTTCTATGAAAGTAAAACAGGATTTAATCATATATATTATTTATTGAAAGTAATATATAATATTTATCTTTAGTAATACATTTATATATATATACATATTTGGAGAAAAATATATCATCACATTGTACAGTTGATAATCGGACTAGGTGACTCTATAAGATCTTACATGGGCTTTTGTTACACGAGATTTACATGTATATTCGATATGATATCTGATACTTACGATGAGGCACAGCATTCCCGGTCATAATAATAGCCACAACAACCATCGTCACATTTGATGTAGTAGGTGTAGTAGTAGTAGTAGTAGCTGTAGTAGTAGCTGTATGCTGCAGTACATAATTCAGCAGTCACACCTGTGTTAATGATAGGAAACGAGGACCATATATCATTCTAACAGATTTATTGGTCTGCAACAGTGACACTTTACGTCAATCATATAGCAGTTTTGATACTAAACACAGTGATGACCACCATATACATGTAACATTTTAGATACTGACCACAAAGATACCGTGTACGACCACCACATACCATTTTTGATACTGACCACAGTGATACGCGTTCCTCAACCATATACCATGTTTGAAACGTCAACAGCGATACAGCGTACGTCCACTTCACTACATCATAGGTACTGACTACAGTGATTGCGTGTACGTCCTCTAAACAGCATCATAGATACTTTGCACAACGATTCCGTGCAACATCATTGATACTGACCGCAATTATACCGTGAGAGTCTACCATGCAACATCAAACGTACTGACCACAATGATTCCGTAATAGTCTACCATGCAACATCATACGTACTGACCACAATGATTCCGTGAGTGTCTACCATGCAACATCATACGTACTGACCACAATGATTCCGTAATAGTCTACCATGAAACATCATACGTACTCAACACAATGATTCCGTAATAGTCTACCATGCAACATTATACCTACTGACCACGATGATTTCGTGACAGTCTACCATCCAATATTAATACGTACTGACCACTTTAATTCCGTGTGAGTCTCCAACGCAACATTATTGGTATTCACAACAGCTATTACGCGTGAGTCTTTTTATTTCATATCCTATAATAGATATTATTAGTGATTTAATGATTAAAGTTTTCCTGCTTAATGTTAAGTTTCTGGTTTTCCAAATTTGCAGACAATTTTTTATTTTGTTACTTTTTCTTACCAAATTTTGTCATTATCTATCATACATCCATGATAAATTCCTAGAGTTTTCACATTTGTTTTGGTCCATTTTATGATATTAAATGTTGCGCCTTTTTTTTCAATAGTCCTATATACAAACCTTCAGTCTTTTCATAATTAATCTTGGCACCTGATGCTTTTTCATATGATTTTAATAGTTTAAAAGCTTCTCGAATGGATTTTTCTGTGTGATTGATTAGCTGAGTATCATCTGCAAACAAACTTATTTTATTTCCTTATCATTACCTGGTACTCTGATGCCTACTATTTCTGTGTTTGCTCTGATATCGCATGCAAGTGGTTCTGCTTGAATAATGTATAAAAGTGGGGCGATCGGGCATCCCTGACGAGCTGATCTTGAGATGTTGAAATATTTAGATGTAAAACCATTAGTTTTGATACATGTTTTTGAATGTCTAGAAATATAATTGAACCATGTTCTTCTTCCCTGTCACTAAAGTCTATTATATCATGTAACATTCTATTGGCATCCGTAATATTTCTCCCTGGTACAAAGCCTTTCTGGTCAGGATGTAGAAGTTTGTTTAAATTTATTTTCAGTCGATTAGCAATTTTTTTGCAACTATCTTATAATCTACATTAAGTAAAGTAATTGGTCGCCAGTTTTTAATATCTTCTCTTTCTCCTTTTTTATAAAGTAATTTAATTATTCCCTTAGTTTGACTATTCGAAAGTTTATTTTCAGTAAATAATTCTATGATTAATTGTGTGATCTCAGTTTTGATTAAGTTCCAATATGTTTGGTAAAATTCACTTATAATTCCGTCCTCACCAGGTGACTTGTTACTCTTTAAAGATTTGACAGCTTCGCTAAAAAAAATTCTATCAGTCTATCCATGTTCCTGCTTTCTTCATTAGATAGTTTATTTTCTATAAATTGTGTTAAAAAATCTGCATTTTTTGTTCATCCTACCCTTCTGATTTAAAAAGCATATTATAAAAAGATGTCTGTTCTTCTAAAATGTGATCTATGACATTTTTATAATAACCATCCCGTCCTTTTATCTTATACCACTGTTTAGATTCAGCGTTTTTCTTTTCAAGGTTAAAGAAGTATTTGGTTGATTTTTCATTTTCATCATATATTTGTATTCTGCTCCGTACTCTAGCAGCATCTGTTTGATTAGTGTAGTATCTTTTATATTTTTAAATATTTTTTATATTTCAATTGTTCAATTTTATCCGTATTATTTTGATGGCTCTGATTATTTTCTAATGTCTCTAGCTCGTCTTCAGCACTTTTAATTACTATCTTTGATATATTTATCTTTTTTCCTATTTTCATACTTATTTGTTTTATTTTAGTTTTAGTAATTTCCCACCATTCACTTATACTATTATACATAATTATTTCATTTTTCCACACTGTCCAACATATCTCAAATGCATTTTTAAAAATATCACTTGCAATTACTTTATAATTCATTTTCCATGTTCCCGGTCCTCGTTCTAGATCCATCAAAGATAGCCTGATCGTGTTTAAATCATGATCACTATAGGGGCAGTATTTTATTTTAGCATTAACTATTTGAGACTTTAAACTGTTTTCTGTTAAGATCAAATCAATTCTTGATTTGGAACTGCCTCGTTTAAAAGTACAGTTTAATGAACCGGATTTTGTATTAGCCATATGTCGGATAAGTTGTTTTGTATCATGAGGTTGACTAGTTGTGTATTTCCGACATCCCCGGACGGTTGTAAAGGAAATCTGTCTTTTGTTTTAACCACTACACAGTTAAAATCACCCATTATGATTTTTTCTGATGAATCATTACAAAAATGTAAATGTAAATATGTTAAAAAATCCTTTCTCTCCATTCCTTTATTGGGACAATGTAAATTTGTAAGATCATAATGTTTTTGTTCACAATTAACTTTACATGCCAGCACTCTTCCACACTGGTCTCTGTAATATTCAGAAATTTTAAAGTCAGAGCTATTGTTTACCAGTATACCAAAACCACTAGAATCGTTCTTCCCATTATTCCATAAACTGTTTCCCCCTCCAACATCTTTCCAGTTGTTATTCCATTGTTTTGAATCTAACTCTGTGCAATGCGTCTCCTGTAAACATACAATATCATATTTTTGACTTTTGACCCAATTAAATAATCTATTCCTCTTTTTATCAGCTCGTAACATCTAAACGAGCAAAGCTGATGTGTTTTTCATGGAAGTTTGATATGTAAATTATGTTATCAATTGGGATATTGCAATCTATACCCCTATCCCGATTCCAGTACATTAATTGATTGGTTTATCCACACACCCTATGGGACAGTTTTAATCTTAACTGGGTATTTAAAATAAAATGAAGCACATATACAATATATAAAAACAATATTTCTCCTTTACCTCCACTGTTAACATTCACAAAAAAGTAATGATTAATTCCATTATAAAAAAAAATATTTCAAGTGTAGCTATACATAAAACATTTACTAGTATTTTCATGTTCGTATCTTCATATAACAACTTTATAAAGCAGTTGCTGATTTCACTACTAAAACTCATTTCAAATGCATAGATAAGTAGATCTAGAATACTCATATATTCATCCATAGTACATGTTACTTAGGAATTTACTAATTTCCATGTAGCAATTCAAATCATTCCCATACATACTTCTGATATAATTATTATTTACATACTTATACTTGATACAGCTTACTATGATAGATACTTTGGACTCTTTTGTTTGTGAAGTAGTTGAAATGGTTACTATTTTCAAATGCAAAGCACCATTTTATTTCAGATACTTGATATAGAGTAATACAAATAGCATATTCTTTTTGTTTTGTACACTATGTTCAAGTACATGTGCATACATTAACATTGGTGTAAGCACTTCTATCACTATCACAATTACTCAAACAGTCGACACTTATTCCCCAAAGCCAGAGAGTGAAAAGTTGTGTACTGTTATTTCCATTCTTTACACTCAGACTTAAAATACTATTACTATTTCCCATATGGAGATACATTGTGTTACATATATACATATTTTCAATATTATTAACAACTTCATAGAGCTTACTCACTGAGACTATGTTTTTTTTCATTGTTTACATTCATAATTGTATTTGAACAATTTAACATTTATTGGTACAGTCGAACCTCGTTATCTCGAACTCGTATAACTCGAAGACCCCGTTTAACTCGAAGTATTTCATCGGTCCCGGCCAAAACTCTTCTTAATCTTACTAATAAAAACTCTGATAATTCGAACTCTGAAAACTCGAAAAACTCGGATATCCCGAAGTGAAACATCGGTCCCAACAACGTAAATCCTACATAAAAATATCTCCTACCTCGAAGTTTCTTAAGATTCACAAGTCTATCATATATTCTGTAATTATTTGATACATATTAGACGAACTGCTACGGTAAACATCGTTCTCATAGAGCAGCTTACGCTTGGTCATAATTACTTTGATTAAACTTACGGCATTAAAATGTGTTTGACTGTAAAAATACTTTGTACAAATAAAGAAACAAACTTCATCAATGTTGATTAACAACAATTAGTACTTACGCCGAGCCCGTAAACAATTTGAAAAGCACTTTATTTACACCAAAGCTGCCGACACATTCTAACCGGAAAATGGGTCACAGTGTGCGTTCATGCGTAAATAAGCTCCACAGTAAAAATCACAACCTAGGACTGGTTCGTTGGTTTATGTTTTTACAGGAGCTTATATGGCATTGATAATTAATTGAGAGATTATAGGAACAATACGATAATTATTGTTGACTACGTCGTGCTGAGGAGATGTCAAGTGTCATTGGGGTCTATAAATATGGATATGTTTCCTGATTAACTCATACCCATCTCGGAATGTCGAAATCAACTGAGCAATCCAACGTGTACGCTCCAATACAGTGTATAAAGACTTGAGCACTTTCATTTCCGCATTGAAATTTCTATCAGCATAGCACGAGGTCGGAGACAGCATGTGTGTTTATTGTAACATTAACTAATTAATGAATATGATTATGAATAAGTTGTATATTTTTATTCTATATAGTTATCTTTTTGTCATTTATCGACTGTTTAAATACGTTGATTGTCAGAGAAATCAATGACATATATAGCCTCATATTGGAACTTTACCAAGCTTTATGCCAAACATAGGAACTCGCTTAACTCGAATACTCGGATAACTCGAAGTTTCCCAACGATCCCTTCGACTTCGCGATAACGAGGTTCAACTGTATTAGTGTTAATGAAAAAAATAAAATTTTGACATCCACAATCATACACCTGTTGTTTTCATTGTTTACATACATGCATATTTATGTACACTATTATACAAATACAAACTGCATACTTATTGCGATTCTGTCTCGGTCATTCTTTACATTCAAACTTGACCAATGGATCATTTCATGACACATGCATATTTTATGGTAGACTTTTACAATATTTTTTTACAAATATATACACAGCATACTCACCGAGATTCTGTCTTTTTTCACTGTTCACATTCATTTCATGTAGCACTCCATGACACATGCATACACTTATGAAAATTTTAACATATTCATACATGTGTAAATTACTGATGTAGTATTACTAAATTCTGTGTATCTATTGCAATTTGTTTCACTAACAATATTTTGCACATAATCATGAAAACATATTTTACCCAAATCAACTGCAATACGTGAACATACATAACTATACCGGTTTTTAGTATAGATAATACAATAGGAAAGTTCTAATATCTATAATTGATATATTCATAGTGTACATATGGCATAGGACATACACTTTCACAGTTCCACGTTGAAGTCTAGCTAGAAAGGATATAAAGTTTTCAGGTTCAACCGGAACTGTCTCGCATTGCTTACTTATCTTCGAGCATTGTCTGTCTGTTGGGGGTATAGACTTACTACTCTTTTTTCGTTTCCTCATGCCACTAGGTGTGCGCATTGGTAACAACGTTGTGTCGGTTGTGTCCAAAAAATGCAACAACGAGGCAGCGATTTTGCCAGCGCCGCATTTACTTACGTGAATGCCACTTGGATCGTTCGGGTCGTAGTTGGTCTTACATGGTGTCCCGTTTGATATTAATTCACTGAACACATCTATAATGTGTAACTTTTTGTTTCGCTGACACATCTTGGAGATAAATGAGTCTACGAGTTTAGTGTTCTTATTCAGCGTGATGATGTTGTTTCTCTTTCCTTTACGAGGGATCACGGTACACACACCTATATCATCAACCTCTGGGAAGTCATCTTTTACCTGCTGAAGCGCCTCTGTGACATTGATGTAAACATCGTCTGGGTCTTGTTTGTTCTTGCTAATGTCGTTGGTTCCTAGGCAAATAACTATTTTATTTACCTTTTCACCTTCCAGAATCGATTGGGCATGCTGGATGACTTGGGATATACCTTCTAGTGTCGCTCCAGATATTGAAGCATTGACAATGTTATCGTTCTGTATCTCGACACGTTTACAATTAGAAGCACCCAAGATCAAAGATTTAACTGCTGGAAGGGGGTCTTCTTCTTCGTCACTCTCGATATCACTGTGACTCTCAACAGTCTCAGACTGACCTTCGAGTATATCGGTAGCATATTGACCATACAAATTGCTGACTAGTTTTCCTTTACAATCTCTTTGTAAATGACCTGTTTCACCACAATAGTAACAGCTTCTGACCTCCTTATTACAATCACGAATCAAATGGTCAGTTGAATGACATCTGTAACATTGTTTTACGTTTGACAAAGTGGTTCTGTTGGGGCATCTATATGACGGATGACTAGTGTCTCCACATCTAAAGCATTGAGTTCTGTTGTTATCTGCGAACATTCTCACATCAAATCTGCCAAAGCTTGTTGGGGTTTTTTTTTGGGGGGGGGAGGGGGGGGAAAGAAAATGTTTTTGTTTAATAGATTATACCCTGACTATTATCAACACATACTCTAGAACTATAACGCTAACAAGGCACTTTAATTTGCTGAATTGGATGATGTTATACCATACGAATCATTTCATATACTAATATTTACCATATAATAACGTTTGTACGAATCGAAGTCTGTTAACCATCGTGACTCTAACCGGAAATCAGACACTGAATTATAATACATTTTTGATTAGAATAGAGTACGGACAAGAATATCCGGAAGTTTATTTTTTATATCAGAATGTGAATCTTTACTTATTTGTTAATATATAATGTAAGACGAATACTGACATTTGATAGAATATTTTTAACAGTATATACATTATTTTAAGGCGATTCTAGACGCTCGTGTACATTGTATGTATATTTATATATATGTTTATGTCATAAAATTTTGAAAATATAATTAAAAATAACCTCTTAAAAAAACTCTTTAAAAAAAATAAAAAAAATAAAATCGTTTGTTTTTGACAGTGTATAACAGTTCTTACGGTATATAGACAAACACCCTAATACCCTACCGTTTTATTATGTGACAATGGTGTATGTAGTTAAACTGTGCGAGGAAGATTTGTTCGACATCGTTAAATTTGTCAATGTCATGAAAAATCCCACCTGTCATGTTTGTACAGGCTACTGGTATGACTCAGTGTCTTATGAGCGAAACAGAACTGGAAGTGGGTATTTTTTATGATCTTATAAATGAAATAGAAATTTACATTATGTAAGTAATATTGTATAATTTGATATTGACGGCATGTGACACTGAAATATATAATAAATTTAATTGTATTGTACTGTTAAATCATCAGTATTTCTTTATACATTTACCGGTATTTTATACGTGTATGTACTTTTGTATCTCATATCACGAAATGCTAGTTGATATAATATATGCAATTTACACAAAATAGAACAGTCTACAGACAAGACTTACTTATAATTTGATACTGGTCTTAGTTTCGTCCCCTAAGTTTATTTCATTAGAACGTACTACGGTATACCGGGAAACTTTCGCCAATTTAAATAATCGCCTTTCACTGGTAAAATCTATATTCGCCGAGTTTGAATTGTGCCCTTCACATGTTATAACTATAGTGGATAAACTGTTTACAAATATTCGCTGTTATTACCCATTCGTTCTTATTGCAGATGCATAAAAGGCGAAAACTAGCATAATGAAAAAACATTCCTGGTATGAAATACACATTCATCATCAGGAAAATTTCTTTATTTTCAGTAATGTTATTTCAAGAAAGGTCTTAACTGAAGGAGTTTCAATCTTTGACAGCTCTTTTGTACTTAAAGAAATAGGTATAAATGATTAAAAAGACCACATACCTGTGAGATAGGCAAGAAGGACACAGATTCCTAAAAGCTTCGCCATTTTGTCGTCCGGTAACTGGAATGACGAGAATAGTTAACTGGTTAATTAAGAACACGACACTATACCCAGTAGTCTGTCCTACAATTTAAATGGATTACAATTCAATAGAACCTATACTTAAGTACAATATAAAAAAGCACAGCCGAGTCTGTGTATGTTATCATGTAAATGTCTATTCAACCTTACCCAAAACACAATCAACGCTGCAAAAGGTTACAGTTTTGAAGTAATACACACGAGACAAGCATTATATTATTCAAAATCCTCTTATTCTTTGTACCTGTACATTATAATATAACACGCCAGAATTGTGCAGAATTATCAGTGACCAGAAGTGCTCGTTGAAAGATACATCAAATGAAAGAAAAAAACCAGAAACACTACTAAAATCTACGTCCGCATTAACTCATTCATCCGGGAAGACACATTGAACTCTTCCAATACAAAGGTCGGAATGGTTTATAATGATATTTCAAGGATGGATGATAAACGGTTACATCACCATGAGACAAACTATTACTGCTGTGAATACCCATACCATTCATAGGTATGGCTCAATAAACAACCGATGGGACGTGCAATTTCCGTGCAATAACTACGCTAACCCTCAAATAGTTGCAACACGGATATTAAATTATACCAAAATATCCTTAAAAGGACACTATGAAAGGTAGTTAGGCATAAAATTATCCCCCGCTTTCCAAAGAAAATCGGGGGATATTAATTTGGGCCCAGCCGTCTGTCACGTTTCAGTTTCCGTACAATAACTACGCTAATCATGATCCTATTTCAACAAAATTTGGTTTCCACATACACATTAAAATGTGTAAGACTAGGTTTACTGGTTCATGTCATATGTGCCTATAAAGCCATCCTGAATAACTCGTAATCATTTTGATTGGCCTATTAATTTCCATGCAATAAGTGTGCTAATAATGGTCCTATTTCAATCAAATTTGGTGTGTTCATGCATTTCAACATAAGTTCGCTGGTTAATGCCATCTATGCATATCTACTCATGATTATTTACTCATATACATTATGATAAGCTTATTGGTTTCCGTGCAATGACTACGCTAATAATGGTCCTATTTCAACGAAATCTGGTGTGCACATACGTATTAACATGTTTCGGGCTCCGTTCGCTCGTCAATGTGATCTGTGGAAATTTACGTATATTTAATAGCAATTAATTACTTAATTAATGATTAGTAAAGTTTGTCAAAAACCCAAACAACTAATGGTAACCTTGTCTTGTCATTGTTGCATAACGACATAATCATTTGAAATTAATTTAACAAAATCATCTTCTCATCGTACGCTGTAACATCCCAAAAAAATATTGATCGCTTTATTTCCCGCCATATCAACCATGACTATCACGTGCTCATTTGTTTACATCCGGTATGTGACTGCTGTTGGTTTATTTCCTCTGGGTTCGTCTTTGATCTTTTTATCATCACTAACAAAAGGTCCCATGTGCTTGTGTTCCATCTGTGCCGGGGAAGCGGCCCCTTGGACGAAGACTTAACCATGCATTGTACTAGCTTACACGACTGTCATTTAAGCACTGTCTTCATACCGGTAAGAAACACCCATGCGAGCATGTGCTTGGCAAAATTATCTATGATATCTCTTGTATTTGTAGTACATTTTACCAACTTGCTCATTGTCTCTCCACGATGCGTGTACTTATAAAACGTGTACCTGTCTCAGTCTATTGATTGGGAGAGAATTGTGCCGCATGACCTAACATTTAAACTCTACCACATCATGGGAACAAACATATGTCACGAGAGTTATTATCTCTTTCGCCTTTTTAAATCTTGTGGTATTCCTGATCATGACTCACGCCAAACTGACCCTTTCTATGGTCACAGGTTGTACAGACTGTTTAGACCTCATTAATCTTCACCAAATTGAAGCACGGGAATGTCCTATACTATTTATTAGACTTAATCTTAATAAATTCCGATGAGGTTGAGTTTAATCCCGGTCCAAATAACAACAGTACAAAGTATGTATGTGGTACATGTGACAGTACTGTAAATTGGGACCACAGAGGTATAATGTGTGAAACGTGCAATCAGTGGTACCACATCGGTTGTGAAAATGTACACACAGAAACATATGAAGATCTTAATATCAGTGATGCCAGCTGGCATTGTATAGTCTGTAACCAACCAAACTACAGTAAAATCCTATTTGACCTGCATGGAATCAGTACTTACAGTACAAATCCCTACAACACATTGTCTCTTCTTGGGGATTTGGGTACGATGGACAACAATACAAACATCAGTAAATGTGGTAATTCTTCAAATTTAAACTGTCCAGCCTTGTAAAAGACCATATCCCCAATAAAACAGTTAACACTAAACCCAGTCTACCTTGGGTTACTTCTGATATAAAACAAATCACCAGGAGAAGAGATAGGTTGTACAAAAAATCCGAAAAATCAAGGGATGTAGAGATAAGAAATAAATATATAAGTCTGCAACATCTCATTCAGAGGAAGCTCCGAACATCCCACTGGAGCCACAGTCAATCATTGCCCCAGAAAATGCACCAGATGAAAACAAATTCTCTTTAAAAAAACGGTTCTGGTCGTACATGAAGTCCAAAAGATCAGACTACAGTGGCATTTCTCCTCTTAAAAAGGACAGTTAACTTGTCTATGACCCTATCGGCAGGGCCCAAGAACTCAATTCTCAATTTGTATCTGTTTTTACTCCTCCTGAAACCATTACTGACCAGCAGTTCCTTGCCATGTTGTAACATGCCTACTGCTATCACTTACCCAACTATGCCTGAAATAAAAATCCAAGAAAATGGTTTCCTAAAGCTCCTCCAAGGTTTAAATCCACACAAGGCCTCTGGCCCTGATGACATCATACCTAGGGTACTGAAAGAGCTTGCAACAGAAATAGCCCCGATCTTGACTCTAATATTCCAACAGTCCCTGGTAACAGGCGTAGTGTCTTTGGATTGGAAGTCTGCCAATGTTACACCAGTATACAAAAAGGGTCCTAAATCCAATCCAGACAATTACAGGCCAATATCCTTAACCTGTGTATGTAGCAAAATTATGGAACATATTGTGGTCTCTAACATCATGACACAGGCTGATACACACAACATCATTTATCCTTTCCAACATGGTTTTCGCAATTCTCGATCATGCGAAACTCAACTATTAGAGTTTATTGACGAACCTTGATGAAGGACTCCAAACAGACATCCTCATAATGGACTTCGCCAAGGCTTTTGATAAAGTCGATCACTCATTGCTGATCCATAAACTAAAGCACAATGGTATTAGAGGTAATGTAACCCACTGGATCGAGAGTTTCCTGTTGGGTAGAACACAAACAGTAGTTGTAGAAGGGGAGATGTCTGACTTTGCAAATGTCCATTCTGGCGTACCACAGGGATCGGTTCTAGGACCCAGTCTGTTTCTCTTTTTCATCCCTGTTGGCCTCGATGCCAAAATCCGTTTATTTGTTGATGAAACAATTGCACACCTGGTTGTCAAGTCTAACAGCGATGCCGAAACTTTGCAAAAAGATCTTGACAAGCTAGCGCTGTGGGATAAAACATGGAAAATCGTATTCCACCCTAGCAAGTGCGATGTGCTGTCCATTAGTAAAAGTAAAAACCCCATAGTCCCTAATTATACTCTACAGGGACACATTTTAGAAAATATAGTATTTGGGTGTTACAATTCAATCTCATCTTAAATGGGACTCCCATGTTAATAGCATCTGTTCCAGATTATTAAAGTTGGTCAGTACCCTTTAGAAGTAGAAGAACCCCTATACGGAATATACATTTCACTACTTACGATATAAAGGGAGATCACTCTTGTAACCGATTCATTTCGCATAGAGAATAATGCTTTAAGAGACCATAAACTTCTCTCTTGTAATATATTTCTATATTTCAAATAGATGAGGACAAATAACTTCACCTTGTCTTAATCCCAGACTAGCGAAGCTCAGGATATCAATCAGTCAAATATATATATGGTATCCAATGAAATTGTTGTATACTAGATTATTCTCAAATGAAAATATTCCATAGTGGTATGAGTGACCCATGGGATTAGGCATTACATAAACCCCTTAGAACTAAAAATGTATTCTAGCTGTTACATTTCTTACCATAGCTTATCCTGACCCAATAACCATTTTTAAACAAACTGGATGCCTATTTCTCAGAAACATTTTTTGTTTTGTCTGCTCGTAATTTTCCATACTACATCTAGACAGTCATCTTTCAAGTATCTTTCAACAATAACACTTCATCTAAAACATGTCCTTTAAAGCAGGGGATATGAACTTCACGACTTTGCTTATTTAAAAATGGAATAATACAAAAGACTAAGTCTTTCCTAGTTTCAGTGATATCCCTACGTGAAGAAAATCACGAAAGGCGAGAAGGAGCACGACTTTAAAGATATTGTTCTCAAATATTGACAGGTCAGCACTGTAGAAGCTGCCAAGAAAAGTGTGACACAAACTTCTACCAATAATTCGAAAGGTTCTTCATACTTATGGGAGGCACTTTGTTTTTGTGCAAAACGTTTAAGCTGACTTAACGCTTCTAACTATGACTTAGGAACTGTTACACTGCTTTAGGGCTACCCGGAGGTCAGCCCCTCCACAATTGGTGACTGATGAATCGATGACAGGTAGGCAACAGATAAAAGATCCACTTTATTTTCAACATAAAACATGAAACAAAATGCATTGACAAAAAGTCATCTTTACAAAGAGCAGACAATCGTGGGATACTGAAATTCTGAAAACGTTGTGTTTTAAACAACTAAGGATGTTACGCTGTAAAGCCCTGTCCTGTGTATCATTGCTGTAAACAGGTAGAAGAAAAATATTTCTGCCTTGTGAATGCAATAATGAAGACCAACTATTGGAAGTGTTTTGAAGAATGCATTTTAAGCAAAACATCAATATCATCAAAATAGAAAATAATGTTCGGAATGATGGAAAACATAAAAAAAAAAAAAAAAAAAAAAAAAAGTATTTTAATATCATTTAATATAATGTAATAATTTAATACTGTTTAAAACAAGCATTTATCATAACATAACAAAAACTGACGAAAAACTGGTTCAATAACGTAAAAAATATTTCAAGTTATTTTGTAATTAATTTCAAACAAGCCGTGCACGTGCAATGCTCATACGAAAACCTTCCCTATTTTGCTAATGTAAACAAGAGAGCCCTGACATAAGTGCCCTTTGCTGAGGATAGACGTGTTCATTTTCATATAGTTTTGAAAATCAGAATATCTATCAAACTCTAGTTAAACCTCTTGGGCAAATTATCTGAATGTTTTACCAAACTAACTAGGTAAGTGACCTGAAGGAATGTAGATTAATCTGTCAAATGCTGATGTCGATAGCGACAGATTGATGATTTTGTTTGATTGAAATAAACATCAAGTAAAATGCAATTGACTCATGTCTGCCGAATTGAGAAACCAACTTGTAACGTAGTTTATGGGATTTTAACTTGGAAATGGTGTCTTTCAGTCATTTAGAAAAATAAAAAGTTTGCTTCGGGTGAAGAGTCACGCTCAGGCAGCGGGCACAATGGATCTTATTTGTTTCTAGTATATAGACAAGGAATCAACAATGTAAGAAGCACATCTAATCCTTTCCAAATAACTTCAGTTTATCAGGTATAAAAGTTGAACTGCTCACAACGTCAGATATGATAAAAACAAAAAATCGAGACACAGGTATCAGGTGATGAAACACTTGCATGCACAAAACAAGCCTTATTCAAGTAATTTGATTTTCTTGGCCACTTATATATCATAGGAGTATAGGACCTAAGGCTTATACGAAAATATATTTTTCATTTAATTATACCTGGTAAAATTAATTAACATATGTTTGTATAATATGATGGAGTATACAACTCGGGATTTGCAAATGTTTGAAAAACAGGTAAATCACCCTGAATCGGCCTTTTTTAAATTTCATTTAAAACATGCGACAATATATTTTTTCTTCTGAAATATTTTTCCAACGTTCTAGGTCATAGGATATTAAATGTGGATCATCATGTTCCTAGAAAGCAGAACTATTTGTCACATTTCACGCTTTTCGTTCCAAAATATGCATTTGCCATGTATAGCCACACAAAACTATTTTTAGGGTTCATGATCTTCTTGAGTTCTGAATTACTACTACTCAGGTAGATCAGGATGGTTTATTGCTGGAGGTGGAGGATAAGCCTGTCCGGCTTGGCCCAAATATGGTTGAGGTTGGACTCCATATGCTGGTTGTGGCTGTGATACCATGTACATACATGTATTACTTTAGATACCATGTCTGCGATATAACGACACTTTTCATTGGTTATAACCACATACTAAACACAATGTATTGAAATATATCACTTTAGTATTGAATCTATACCATGTCTGTGATGTAACGACACTTTTCATTGGTTATAACTACATACTAAACACACTGTAATGATATCTCTACCATGTGTGTGATGTTACGATACTTTTTATTGGTTACAATCACACACTTATCACACTGTATTGATAATACCACTTAAGTATTGAATCGCTACCATGTAACGAAACTTTGCATTGGTTATAACCATATCTTATTGGACGATAAAATATGAGCATGCATGGTATTATTTTCGAACTAACCATGCACGTGCAACACTCCAAGAATTCTTCAAGCTCTGCAGGAATTGGTTTCTTTTGCCGAGGGATGATACACGCATTTGTTATAAATGTTTGTGATTGTGATAACAAACAGGAAAACAGTTCACAAAGTTTGGGATCAGAATGTACCACTTAACTCGTTATGAAGGGTACTTGAAAATGTGTTTGTAAGTTTAAGAGTGTTTGCACAGTTCGTAATCTTAGAAATCGAGAAACCAAATGGCAACTGTAAGTGGAACTTGTGGGATGTTCATATCTAAAATAGGAGACTTTTAAGTCGTACACACACACAAAAACTTCACTCAACTTGGTCAGAGTGATAGGACAAGCTAAAGAAGGATGCATCTTCTTTGGTTAATAGCATTTCTACTAAATTCATGATAAATCAACAAATAATAAGGCACAGATCATCTTTCCCAAATATATCTAAATTTCAAATGTAGCAGGCAAAATAGGGCAACAAGCTCACAACATCAAAACGGATAAAAACGCGAGGCTTGTTAAATACATAAGTAAACAGCATGGATATAGGGTTAACACGAATACACGTTTTCTTTACAAAGTACTTGGTAGAAATAGATATAATCAACAATTGCTTTTATAATATGGGGAAATATATAACTCAGGATTAAACATTTGTTTGACTTACATATCTCAGGCTTCAACGGACTGATTTGATATTTTTCAGCTGTTTCTCAAACTCGCTATAAATAACACCAAACACACGCACATATATTGATAATTTCTTAAATATATTTCCACAATCAATGTGATTGGTCATGTTCCTAGATCCTCTGTGCATAGCCTTTAGTCACGCGTAAAATGTTTTGACGTTTTCTGGTCTGCTTGGTCGGAGTTAGTACTTCTCTGGTTAATTTGGATTGTATATTGCTGGTGGAGGTGGATAAGCCGGTCCGGCTTGGACGACAAATGCTTGAGTTTGGACTCCATATGTTGGAGGTGGGCCCCCATACTGTGGAGGAGGAGGATAGGCCGGCTGGGGATAGGCTCCGTACGGCTGTTGTTGCATTTGCTGTTGGGTGGCAGTGTTAACTATAAATACATAATGAATTTCTAGTAAGTAAGGCTGAAACGATTTTCTGTGTATGTAAACATGTACAAATGTTTGTGTATATCTATGTACATGTATCAGTATACGCATCTTTCTCTGTCATATCTAGAAGTTTACTGCATACTTTGAAATGTTTGTGGGTATTTTCTTTAGTGGTTTGAAGCAATTTAGATTGTTTCGTGCAACAAACAGTCATAGATACCTCTTACAAACAGTAATGAACTATGTCAGTCAAATTCGTTGTGTTATTTCTTTTCGTAGTTCCATAGCAACCACCAAAACCACGAATGTTTATTGTATATTGAAGATTAATATTAAACATGTATATTACGATATTCTAATGTGTAAAGCTATAGTATATATTAGCAGAGAACTAACAAATTCCATTCACTCTATCTGTTCCATCAGGTTAAGTTATCAAAATGATAAACAATAATGAAGTCTTATGCTGGAACGACACTGTATAACACAGATTTCAAAATAAGCACTGATATTTCTTCGGTTTTTTTTATTTCATCTAAAAGTAAATTTAAAAAGGCATCACAATGTCATCTACACAGCCAAAATCGGAACTTAAAGGAGATATGGTGACAGGGTATTCGAAATGCAGTGACATTATCCAAAACTAAGAAAAAGCTGCAAGAATCAGGCTACGTGTTCATCAAACTGTAATAGTGTGCTAACTCATATTCAGTTATCGAGTGCAATCGCTAATTCCAACAACCCATGTGGAGCATAAAATGGTCTGGGATGGATGTTGCGGTATCTGTGCTGTTGTAATCAAGTGAGGTGGCACTATAAATAATACCGTTGGAAGCACGGTCCCACTAAAAACAGCACACAATACATCTCCAGCACACACTGACATACACACACAGGGAGATATTAGCCAGGTGGCATAGTACTTATAGTTAGCGCCTGATAAGGCTGCTCCTGCAAATTACTAAAACATGTTTTGATTAGTGTATATGTTAATTGTATTAATTGTATATATATGTACTGTTTTTGACTATTTGATTCGGTGTCAAATATCTTGAGTTCAAGGCCTTGACAAGTCATTCACTTGAATCGTCTGAGCTCCATAATGAACACTGGGGCTATGTATCTATCCCAGTTGATATCGTTATGCCTACCACAAATGTAACTCTCTATAATTCCACTTACCGACCGTGACGTTTCCAGTTCCACCAGTTTGCCCTGCGACAATAACACCAGTCCTTTTCTTGTTACAGGCCTTGATGACAATGATAAAGACGACGATACAGACGATGAAGAAAAAACACCCAATGACCGCTCCGGCAATGGTACCAGTTCTATAAAAGTAAAAACATGATTTAAACATATATATTATTTATTGAAAGTAATATATAATATCTATTTTTAGTAATGCATTAAAATATATATATATATTAGGAGGAAAATAAGTTATCACATTGTACAGTTGATACTCTAGCCAGGCGACACTTTATTATCTTACACGGATTTTAAAGGATACTTACGATGAAGTACAGCATTCCCGGTCATAATAATAGCCGCAGCAACCAGTGTCACAATTTATGTAGTAGGTGTAGTAGCTGTAGCTGTAGCTGTAGTAGTAGTAGTATGATGCAGTACATAATTCAGCAGTCACACCTGTGTTAATGAGAGGTAACGAGGACCATATCATTCAAACAGATTCATTGATAAAAGTACACACCACAGTAATACGTGTACGGCCAGCATATACCATTTTGGTTATTCGACACAGTAATACGTGTACGGCCAGCATATAACATTTTGGTTATTCGACACAGTAATACGTGTACGGGCAGCATATAACATTTTGGTTATTCGACACAGTGATAAATGTACGTCCACGATATAACATTTTTGATACTGACCACAGTGATACGTGTACGTCCACCATATAAAAAAATGATACTGACCACAGTAATACGTGTACGGCAACCATATACAAATTTTAATACTGACCACAGTTATACGTGTACGTCCACCATATAACATGTTTGATACTGACCACAATGATACGTCTACGGCCACCATATAACATTTTTGATACTGACCACAGCTATACGTGTACGTCCACGATATAACATGTGTTGATACTGACCACAGAGATACGTGTACGGCCACCATAAAACATTATTGATACTGACCACAATGATACGTGTACGGCCACCATATAACATTTTTGATACTGACCACATTGATACGTGTACGACCACCATATAACATTTTTGATACTGACCACATTGATACGTGTACGACCACCATATAACATTTTTGATACTGACCACAATGATACGTGTACAACCACAATATAACATGTTTTGATACTGACCACAGTGATACGTCTACGCCCACCATATAACATTCCTGATACTGACCCAGTTATACGTGTACGGCCACGATATAACATATTTTGATATTGACCACAGTGATACGTGTACGACCACCATATAACATTTTTGATACTGACCACATTGATACGTGTACGACCACCATATAACATTTTTGATACTGACCACATTGATACGTGTACGTACTCCATATAACATTCTTGATACTGACCACAATGATACGCGTACCTCAACCATATAACATGTTTCATACGTCAACAGCTATACAGTGTACTTCCACTTTCCATTCATCATAGGCACTGACCACAGTGATAGCGTGTACGTACTCTAAACAATATCATAGATACTGACCACAGTGATAGCGTGTACGCCCACCATATAACATTTCTGATACTGACCCAATTATACGTGTACGTCCACGATATCACATATTTTGATATTGACCACAGTGATACGTGTACGGCCACCATATAACATTCTTGATACTGACCACAGTGATACGTGTACGTCCTCCATATAACATTCTTGATACTGACCACAGTGATACGCGTACCTCAACCATATAACATGTTTTATACGTCAACAGCTATACAGTGTACTTCCACTTTCCATTCATCATAGGTACTGACCACAGTGATAGCGTGTAAGTACTCTAAACAATATCTTGGATACTGACCACAATGATTCCGTGGGAGTCAACAACGCAACATCATTGATATTGATTACAATATTTCAGTGAGAGTCTACCATACAACATTATAGGTACTGACCACAATGATTCCGTGAGAGTCTACCTTGCAACATTATAGATACTGACCGTAATGATTTCGTGGGAGTCTACAACGCAACATCATTGATATTGATTACAATATTTCAGTGAGAGTCTACCATGCAACATCATTGGTAATGACCACAATAATTCATTGAGAGTCTACCTTGCAACATTATTGATACTGACCGTAATGATTCCGTTGGAGTCTACAACAAAACATCATTGATATTGATCACAATATTTCAGTGAGAGTCTACCATACAACATTATAGGTACTGACCACTATGATTCCGTGAGAGTCTACCATGCAACATTTTTGATACTGACCGTGATGATTCCGTGGGAGTCTACAACGCAACATCATTGATATTGATCACAATATTTACGTGAGAGTCTACCATGTAACATCATTGATACTGACCTCAATGATTCCGTGAGAGTCTACAACGCAACCTCATTGATACTGACCACAATGAGTACGTGAGAGTCTACAACGCAACCTAATAGGTACTGACCACAATGATTCTGTGAGAGTCTACCATGCAACATTATTGATACTGACACCAATGATTCCGTGAGAGTCTACAACGAAACATCATTGATATTGATCACAATGTTTCCGTGAGAGTCTACAACGCAACCTAATAGGTACTGACCACAATGATTCCATGAGAGTCTACAACGCAACACCATTGATATTGATCACAATGTTTTCGTGAGAGTCTACCATGCAACATAATAGGTACTGACCACAATGATTCCGTGAGAGTATACCATGCAACATCATAGATACTGACCACAATGATTCCGTGAGAGTCTACAACACAACATTATTGATACTGACCGTAATGATTCCGTGAGAGTCTACAACGCAACCTCATTGATACTGACCACAATGAGTACGTGTGAGTCTACCATGCAACATTATTGATAATGACCACAATGATTCCGTGAGAGTCTACAACGCAACATCATTGATATTGATCACAATGTTTCCGTGAGAGTCTACCATGCAACAAAATAGGTACTGACCACAATGATTCCGTGAGAGTCTACAACACAACATTATTGATACTGACCGTAATGATTTCGTGGGAGTCTACAACACAACATCATTGATATTTATCACAATGTTCTCTTGAGAGTCTACCATGCAACATCATTGATACTGACCACAATTATTCCGTGAGAGTATACAACGCAACATCATTGATATTAAACCACAATGATTCTGTGAGAGTCTACCATGCAACATCATTGATACTGACCACAATGATTCCGTGAGAGTCTACCATGCAACATCATTGATATTGATCACAATGTTTCCGTGAGAGTCTACCATGCAACATCATTGATACAGACCACAACGATTCCGTGAGCGTGTACAATGCATTATCGTTGATACTGGCCACATTGATTCCGTAAGAGTGTACAATGCAGTATATATATATATACATCATACCAGACCATGGATACTGACCCCCATGATTTTGTTTAAGACCAGCATAGAAAACATTAATGATAGAAAACATCACAATAATGTGGTGTAAGTCCTCCACACAGCACAGTGTTGATACCGTAAACGTCCACAAAACAACACTGATGCTTACCACATATGAGTACAGTGTAATTGCATTATACGATGCCATGTATAGACGCATTAGAATGATGTGTCCACAATGCAACATTATTGATCCGACAACATATCTAAAATTGAGCATGAGAAAACGCTATTCATTCATCAAACACCCCGTTGATAAAAATCACGACAATACTGCATATGAAGTACACTACATAAAACTATAGAAACATCGCACGTGCTGACACTCTGATGGCTGGTTTGGTTTCAGTTCGTTTGTTTGTTTATTATGTGACAATGGTGTATGTAGTTGAAACTGTGCGGGGAAAATGTGTTCGACATTGTTAAATTTTTCAATGTCATATGAATAAAACCAGACAAGTTTGTACAGGCTGCTGGTATGACTCAGTGTCTCATGATAAACACCAGTCAAGTTTGAACAGGCTACTGGTATGACTCAGTGGCTTATGAGCGAAACAGAACTGGATGTCGGTATATTTATGATTTAAAACAGAAATAGAATTTTACATTATGCAAGTAATATATTATTATAATTTATGAAATTCACGCCAAGTAATACAGTCTTCATATTACACTTATATATACTTTGATACTGGTCCCAGTTTCGTCCCTTAAGTTTATTTCATTAGAACGTATTACTGTATACCGGGAAACATTCGCCCATTTAAATATTTTAAAAAAAGTTTGAGTTTTGCCATTCACATGTAATAATTATGGTGGATAAATTGTGAACAAATATTTGCTGTTATGTAAATTGGTCTTTATTGCAGATGCAGAAAAGGCGAAAACTAGCATACTGAAGAAAACCTGGTACACAAAACATCCTGAGGAAAATAACCCTATCTTCAGTAATGTTATTTCATGGAAGGTCTCAACTGAAGGAGTTCTAATCTGAGAAAGCTATTTTGTATTCAAAGAAATAGGCAAACATGATAAAAAGACCACATACCTGTGAGATACGAAAGAAGGACACAGATGCCGAAAAGCTTCGCCATGTTGTCGTCGGGTAACTGTAATGACGAGAATGGTTAACTGGTTAAGTAAGAACACGACACTTTATCCGGTAGTCTGTCCTACAATTTAAATGGAATGGATTACAATTCAATAGAACCCATACATAAGTACAATAACAAGAGCACAGCCAAGTCTGTGTATATTATCATGCATAAGTCTATCCAACCTTACCCAAAACTTGCACAAAAAACGCTGCAAAGGGTTCGTGTTTTGAAGTAATACACACGAAACAAGCATTATACTATTTAAATTCTTCTTATTCTTTGTACCTGTACATAATAATATAAAACGCCAGAATTGTGCAGAATTATCAGTGACCAGTAGTGGTCGGGGAAAGAAATGTTAAATGAAAGAAAAAAACAGAAACACTGTTTTAAGTGAGAATGTCGTTTATTAATTTTAATCTTCGTCAACATTAACTCATTCAACCCTGAAGACACATTGAACTATTCCAATACAAAGGTTGGAAAAGTTCATAATCAAATTTGAGGGGTGAATGAGTTAAAAAAAATATATATAAACGGTTACATCACCCTGAGACAAGCCATTACTAGTGTAAAGTACCCTACCGTTCATAGGTATGGCTCATTTCACAACCTTGGGGAAGTTGCCAAAAAAATAAAGGGACCATTACGTTAAAAGATATACCTCATAACATGTAACAGACCTAAATTGAATAATCTGATTCGCCACGAAGGAAGGTCCTAAGGCGTCTAGGTGCTATAGAACAAATAGGACCTAGTAACTGGATGACACCCCCATACACATACATACACACACACACACACACACACACACACACACACACACACACACACACACATAAACAAACGGTTGCAACACGAAGATTAACTCAGCCTAAAAAGGACACATTGCAAGGTTAGACATACATGTATATGCTAAGACAGTTGAAGAGAGTGTATTGTTATCGGGGGATATTAATGTGGGCCCGTCTGTCCGTTTGTCCGTCTGTCACGTTTCGGTTTCGTGCAATAACTACGCTAATAATGGTCTGATAATATAATTTGGCGTGCATATATACATCTTAACACAGCTTCAGACTAAGTTCGCTCGTCAATGTGATCCTTGCATATTTACGCATAATTTATTACACTTATACATTCTGATAAGATCATTGGTTTCCGTGCAATGACTACACTAATATTTCAGCAAAATTTGGTTTGCACATACATATTAAGATGCTTAAGATTAAGTTCGCTGGTCAATGTCACCAGTGCATATTTACGCATAATTGATTACTCTTATACATTTTGATTGGCGTATTAGTTTCCATGCAATAAGTGTGCTGTTAATGGTCCTATTTCAACAAAATGTGGTGTGCACATCCGTATTAACATGTTTTAGGCTCAATTCTTTTGTCAATGTGGTCTGTGGAAATTTAAGCATAATCAATATAACAATTAATTAGCTTATTAATTATTAACAAAGGTATTAAACAACCCTAATAAATAATGGTGATCTTGTCTTGTCTTGTAGTCAGTAAATGCAAAATATTGTTATACATATCAGTTTTGAGGTGTACAACATTTGTCCAAGTCTTGCTGAGGATATGATGGTGTATACAGATTTGGAATATGGGCAAATAGATGAGGACAAATAACTGCATCTTGTCTTATTCCCAGACTAAAGTTCAGGACATCAATCAGTCAAATCTGTATATGGTATCCAATGAAATTGTTGTATATGAGAAATTCTCCAGGAAAAGTTTCCATAGAGTTTTGGCTTATGCATAATCCCCCTAGAAGTATTCTAGCTGTTACATTTCATACCATAGCTTATTTCATACCACTAGCCATTTTGAAACAAACTGGGGGCCTATTTCTAAGAAACATTTTCTGTTTTGTCTGCTCTTAATTCTCCATACTAGCATTGCATGCTTCAATTAACTTTCAACAATAACACTTCATCTAAAACATGTCCAAATAAGGAGCTTATTACGTTGAGTCAAATCGATGTTGGAGTTGGCGGTAAAATGACGTGACCGAATTGAATGAGGTCTGGTTCACCCGAGATGATATGGTCGCTACCTTGTGAATCACGCGCTTCTATTTAACCGTTGGTGGTCCAAGTTTTCTTTATATTATCATTGCCAGAGATATTGGGTAGCCCCTCCGTTTTGAACTTTGCAGCTGGAATTTAGCGTCGCTGAATTTCAGACGGACTATGACTTTACACAATGGGACGCTGACGTGAGGTTGTTCTGCTTCCATTCAGTGTGATCGTTCGACATCAGAAGCCTGTCATGGAACATTGGCCTTCGAGAAGTGTCCTCTTGGAAATCGGGGTCAGATGAAACAGACTCCTTAAAGCCAGAAATACGCACAAGAGACCTACGTCCATATTGTTCAACATCGTCAAACTCAAGTTGGTGATTTTGTACCGTTAACTGTTCATTTTGGCAAACCAATGGTTTGAGTTTCTCTTGTACAATAGCATCTATATGCTGTCGGGTGATCAGAAACACCGCCGAGTCGATACGCCGAACATCGGTATCTGAGAGCGACACTGCTTGACCGTCCGCAGACAGGCTAGTGTGTGGTACACTCGAAAGAATATTAGCTGATATAGGTAGGGTTTAATGTCGGTCGGTCTAGAAGTTGATAATGGAGACGAGGCCACCGTATATCTCTTATTTTTTCATAATCGGGGACGTCAGATATCGACGACTCACTTCTGTTACGTTTCTGACGCTGTGGTGAAAACATTAGATACCATAATTATACAATGTACGTGCATAAAACCGTGGGTTATTAAGTGCACGTGGGTGAACAAGTGGACAGATGAACGCGAGTGCACTCAACCGTGGTCAATGCATAATATAAATATATGTATAGTAAGCATCTCACAGTTTGCACTGACAATGCACAACTAGTTAAACAAATGCAGAACAAAAACACCTTACCCGGCACTTGAACAACAGCATAAACGAATTGTTGCTCCTAGTCGCCAATCCAATAATGTCATATTTGTTCAGAGCCACGTTGAGACGTGTTTACACCTCCGTGGACCGGAAGCCTATTTCTTTGGCATGTACTTTATTTAGGCTTGCTAAGACAAATACAAACATTCAAGTTTAAGCACGTGTCATTCATGACCAGTTGGCTGAGTAGAAATCAACTTGACGGCTGACTCTTTGAAAAGGGGGCCGCGGTGGCCGAGTGGTTAAGGCGTCTGACATTCTGCTACCAGTAGCCCTCCACCACATGGTCGCGGGTTTAAGGCCTACGTGGGGCAGTTGCCAGTTACTGGCCGTAGGTCGATGTTTTTATCCCCGGGAACTCCGGCTTTCCTCCACCATCAAATCATCACACGTCCTTAAATGACCATAGCTGTTAATAGGACGTAAAACACAAACAAACAAAAAACTCTTTCTAAGTATTCAACATTAAAGCCGCATCACCCGTATTAACAAATATGGCTAATGGCTTCATGTATGGTTTGATAGCGAACAGAACGTTTTGGGTATCCCATCGTCAAATATTTCATTTCCTACCCATGTTGGACTCAATGCAACTACCAAATGTAACCTGTTCCATTTGCCGATGACTTTGACCAGATTAACATTGCCTGTGCGTATGATTTTGCGCAGGGACCACTTGATAAGATTTTTACATTTTTCATTGAAGCAACACAAGAAATTGATCAAACAACCAAAAACGATCAATCAGAAAAATATTATCAGCTCACGGTTACTACCGGAAGTGACAAGTAATGTACTGCCATAGAAATTCTCCTCCCAGCTACCCATTCTGCCTTGTGCAAGTATCAACCCCAGGTACAAATCGAAAACAACGTAGATCCAGGGGTTCGTTACAAATGTCTGAAATACACATATCATGCTATAACTAAAATGGGTCACAGCACACATAAACATATATATAAATGTATGTTAATGTGTGGTGTGACCCATATCAGTATACAGTAGCATATGTGTATAAATTTATGTTTTTGTGTGTTGTAACCCATATCTAATCATTATCTATATATGTGTATTTCAGACATTTGTTACGAATGTAATCAAATGTTTCGTCCTTTCAAGCCACGTTTGGTTTCCTGTCTAATTCGATATTCAATTACTGCAGCTTCACAGATGAAAACCTCGCAATTTAGCGGCTCTCCACTTCGAGCTTGTAAAAAGATTGCTGCCGTAGTCTCGCAGCTTAGCCTGTAGACATTATTCTTCCGCGATGATGCAATATAAAATTGATATCTTATGAATTTATCAACAAAAACTATTAATGGCATTTAAAATATGGTTTTGTTTTTTGTTTCTTCATAATTTGGCTTATCAACGTACACCACCATTATTGGTCTTGAAACAAATTCAACAGCAGTTCATTAAGACTAACTCAATTCATCACCCCATGAAATCGACCAAAGCAAGATTCAACCCTTAATTGAACCCACTGCAACGAAACTTTGCTGAATCACTCGAGTTTCATTAGTTACCTTTTTAGGTATCAAACTTAGGGGATGGGTACATGTATGTTAGAAAAAGGGGGCTGTTCAAATGGTCCTCCAACCTGACCTCCCCTGACCTGTTTTTTTTTGCATTTTATCTTTTAATTACCGAGGATTACTTCAAGCTGAGAGTTAGTCTGATACATTCCGACAGCAATGGGTCCCTGTTCATGGAGAATGAAACCCCAACTCAATCCTTCGAGGAAATGATGCATTAAGTCTTGGAGGTATACTATCAACCAGATTGTCAACTCTTAAATTATTTTTGGAATACCAATCACAAGAGACTAATTAACTGCCATGATTGTAGTTTGATCATTATTTAGAATTTTGGTTGCTATTGTTAATTTGTTAAATATTTGTTTGACATATCACCTCTTCTATGGCACAACATTTCTTGTTGATCTGCTCTGCATTTTTTCACATTTGTGTGGTCATCCAAAATATAAACTAGAAGATACCTTTTGCTATTATACTGATAATGTATTTAACCCCGGTTATTAAGTGAGGAATCAGTTGATTAGTAATTCCGAAATTTATAATGATGTTTTTATAGAGTTTTAGCAACGCTGACGAAAATCCTCTTTAAACTTTGTATTTCAAACTATAAATAAACAGTCTGTGTTGTGTGTTGGACTGAGCAGGGAGAATTTAATACAATAAAATGCAAAATAAAAGTTATGAAAAGCCTCCTAAAACTTTTCATTTTCTTTGAAATTAATTAAACCTGGGTATTGATTTTCTTTTCAGTCCGACACCTACAAACAAACAGCCTTAAACCTGCACTCAAATAGAAATGAACCCAAATCCACTAAATGGCGTGCCATATTTAAGATTTTATTTTGTCGTCAGGTATGATACCTTCCTACAAAAACAGATCAAATAATTTCTGCAGAAACAGATCAAACGACTGAGAGGGCTGTGTTGTAGGAGGAGGCATCTGCCGCTCCTGGGTTACCTTTTTCAGCTCCTCTGCCACCTCGGAAATATACATCTGGGTAAGGCAGAGTCAAGAAATAACAAGAAATTAAAGTCAACTTGGAAATCATTCCTAGATATGAGGGAGGAAATGGGGGGGGGGCAAAATCATAAAGGGCATCTTTTTGACAACAACAAGAAATATTTGCAAAAAAGAGGCCAATTTTAAGTAATATCCCTAATCCCCTCCATATCTCAAAATGGTCTCCAAGCTTAACTTAATTCCATGTCATATAATGACAGCTTACGCCAAGGAATATTTATTAAAACATATACCAATCCGTAAAAGCCACCAGAAGGCTAAAATTGGCACTCTCTCTTTTTAGTTATTTCTTACCAAATAGATCATTAAAAAAATATTTAACAAATAGAAATTCGAAGATGTTAAATAATTTTCAGGTGTAGTTTATAATTGGCAATGATAACCCTTTGTTTTTTAGAATATTGAGGAAACGTTGATTGTATTATGGGATGAATGGATCTGTAAATAAAACAAAGGTATTTGTCTGCAATCCTGTTCGATTTTATAGGACTATTACACGGAACAGACAGCTATTTTATGCTTATATTTACATTTTTATTTATTTTTCAATTTTCATTTCTAAGTTAACAACGCACTTTCACTTATCCGCTTGGTAGTGCGGAGGGGAAAAGCTATCCGGTAGTTAGTCGGTCCCGTGGAAATATCATCCAAAAAGTGATCCGGAAAAACAATTCTCTTATTCATAATATACACGGTACGTCAGTTTAATTTAAAAAACAACTTTATTGATAAAATCTAAATAAGGCATCACAAAATATTTATGGATTTCAAGGCAAGTAAGCATACCAACAATTATCTGTTATTATTTTCTATATAGGATAACATCAATAATTTCTCAGTATATACTAGATATTTACCTATTTGTACATGATATGTAAATGTATATACCTGTTATTTTGAACTAAAAACGATATTCCAGTAAAAATGACATGCTGAAGTGACGTCCAATTAATTTACCTTTGAATAACCAATAATCTGTTGAAATAAACCTCTTTCTTCTTAATTGTTTTAAATATGACTGAAATATCTATAAGCTAAAATTCACATATTTGGATTAAGATCATTAAGAAACTTTATTAACATTTTGCCCTATCGATTGAACATATGTTTCATATTAGCATTTGCTATTTATTCACATTTTTACGTTAAATATTCATTCACATGACATTTGAATAAACCCTACAATTGGAATGATGCGTCATATACTCAAATGTAAGACTATATTCGGTATAGAGAGATTCAACGCGTTCCACCGATAAGTTTCACATAATGACAATATTTAAACAATACCTGGTTGTCTGGATGTAATTATTGTTGATTTAATTACAAGTGGCCTCTGGCATATCTACCATAAAACCTAGCGGGTTTTCTGGGATTTGCCAGAGGCCACTTGTAATTATATCCACAATAATTACATCCAGACAACCAGGTATTTTTTATATTTACATGTTTTTCTTTTTTAAGACATATTCCTACAAAAACCTTTAGCCCTGCCTCAAAATACATTTCAGGCGGCCATTTTGTTTGTTTACATATTCCTGCACCTGAAACAGGCAGTTGTAATTATAGTCGAGCAGTTGTAATTATAGCCTATATAATTACACTTGCCCTCTAACACTGTTGTAATGGGATGGCGCGGGGGCAAATGTAAATATATACAAATGATACATTAAATAATCGACTTGGTTTCAAAATTACTTAAATACTATGTTAACAATCCATGAAACAGTGTAAGCGATCCTGGAAGAAAGCAAAAACAGTTGCTCTACCATCGTATTAGGTAGAAATGTCACATTAACATCATTCAAAAGTTTTGTTGTTCCGGTACATTTTCTAGCATACTAGTAGGTGACCAGTTGACCAGGTAATTGCTGTGTTGGTGGATAGACTTGCCCTGCATAGGCTTGAACTTGGACTCCATAAGCTGGTTGTGGCTGTGGATACGCCCCATATGGTTGAGGTTGTCCCCCATACTGTGGAGGAGGAGGACCATAAGCCGGCTGGGGATAGGCTCCGTACGGCTGTTGTTGCATGTGCTGTTGGTTGGTACTGTTAACTGTAAAACCAAAATACACCATATAAAAAATCGATTTACGGTACAAACACTATTGTCTTTGTATGCATATGTTGAAATCAAAGCACATTTTAAAAAAAAGCGAAACTAAGTCACGTGATGGATTGATTAGTTAATTAATGATTGATATTAACTTTAAAATATGGTAGTTGAGTTATGAAAAGAAAATATTTTAGAACACTTAGTTGGTTCCGAAATGATCATAAGACTACACTTGATACAGCCGGATCTATGTGTATTGCTTCTTACGTGTCTTAAATACAACAGAGTTGTACATTACCGTTGTATGTCATTAAAAAGCCTGATACAACAGAGTTTGTGTAAGTTACCGTTGTAAGTCATTAAAAAGCCTGATAAAACAGAGTTCGTGTATATTACCGTTGTATGTCATTACAAAGCTTTATAAAAAATATTCCGTTTATATTTCCGTTATATGCCATTAAAAACCTTGATACAAAATAGTGCGTGTATATTACCGTTATATGTCATTAAAAAGCCTGATATAGCCGAGTTCGTGTAAATTACTGTTATATGTCATTAATAAGCTTGATACAACAGAGTTCGTATATATAACCGTTATATGTCTTTAAAAAGCCTGATATAGCCGAGTTCGTGTAAATTACTGTTATATGTCATTAATAAGCTTGATACAACAGAGTTCGTATATATTTATAATATATATTTCAGATGCAGATGAATGGTACGAGTCTATATGGAATGATAGTGGTAATATAAATGGTAACAAGTTGAGAACTTACAGAACTTTTAAATCAAATTTAATTCCGGATTCATATGTCAAGCTTGTTAGAGAAAAGAGTAAACGAAGAGTACTTTTTAATTATAGATGTGACTCTCTACCTCTAGCAGTGGAAATTGGCAGATACGCCAAACCTGTGATTCCACTAGAGGAACGCTTGTGTAAGATATGCACAAATGTAAATAACTGTATAGAATTACACTTTTTAATTAAATGTGATGTATATAATGACATACGATCATCCTTATTTAATGTAGCAAATAATATAAGAAATGATTTTACAAGTCTTAATAACACTGACAAATTTAATTTTATAATGTCTTCCAAGGAATTACAACTTCAACTTGCAAACCACTTATATGATATGTACAGAAGACGTAGCAGTCTATGTGATTAATTATAATTTTAAACGGTGTCTTTTAAGCAATTTTAGGCTGAATATTATATACAATTACATTTTCTATTTTATACATTTGTTAAATATGATACCAGGTGTCAATCAGAGAAACATTTGTTACGAAAATAATCTTCCGTTTAAATTATAATAGCTACTAGTTAGGGTGAATTTAGCAGACCTCGCTGGTAGGGGGCTCCCCAACCCTTGGAAACCTAAATTTCACTACAATGTAAAACTAGGAAATTATTCATTTTATTTATCACCATTGTTATTGGTGTTGTTTTTAAAGACATCATGTTTTAAGGCGGTAAATGTAAAAGAAACCTTTTAACAATTATAGTATAAAATATGTAAGTACAAAATCCAGGAGTTTGTTAGGTAGGGGCTGTCCCAATCACCTGCTCTCTGGATTGGCACATGTGATAGTTTGTTTAAATTTATGTAATTTATTATGTATACTAGCTGTTCTTAACAAAATTATGATATGGTCTATATATTTTTACACTAAGATGATTGATCCCTGTTATGTAACTATATGTTTTTCTACTGTGTAACTATATACTTGTACGATGTAATTGTGATATATCACACTATAATAAACAAAATTGACTTGACTATTACCGTTGTATGTCATTAAAAAGCTTAATATAATTAATCCGTGTATATTACCGTTATATGTCATTGAATAGCTTGACACAACATAGTCGATATGTTACTGTTATCTGTCATTAAGACGCTTGATACAGGTGCGTCACAGGTTGTTTCTGTTATGTGTTTACTAAACACCTTGATACAGCCAGGTCCGTGTATGTTACAGTTATGTATCATTAATAAGCTTAATAAAGCCAGGCTATTATTTGTTGCAGTCAAAAATGTATGTACTATTCTGAAGCTTGAACAAACATGTGAATGAGTGTAGCTTTTTTCTGTCATTAAGAAGCTTGATAAAGTCGCATTGCTGTAATTTTCTTTTATTTGTCCTTAAGCGGCTTGATTATGCAGGTCTGTGAAAGTGATCGCAACATATTAATGTGCTACTAAAACTATGGTACACATGTCATCAATAGACAATACCTTTTTTAAAAGAACACACCGTTGATATAGTTGGCTGATTAGTTTGCAATTCTTGGCTAGCTTATTCGGTACCGAAGTTCATGAGTTCGACGCCCGCAGGAGTTATATCGAATATGCTCAATAATGAACACTGTGGGTTATGTACAGTATCAATTTGCGTTCATACTGTCATAAAAAAAACACAAATGTAACCCTTTATAATTATACCCACCGACCGTGACGTTGCCCCCAGGTCCACCAGTCTGCCCTACGAAAGCAACTCCAGTCCTTGTCGTGTTACAGTGCTTAATGAGGACGATTATGCCGACGAGAAATGCGATGAATATAACACCGCCAATGATTGCTCCAGCGATAGTTCCCTCAGTTCTATATTATGAATAGATTTAAACAAAAGAATATTTTATTGAAGTAAAGTAATACACCTTTATATAAAATAGTAATACAGGATATGAAATCAAGATTTCAAGAAATCACTGGAAAGTCCAAAATCGGATCAGTTGTCTTTGTATTATCATACCATGTTTTATATATGAGAGTCCTATATGATGTAATACTTACGTTGAAGCAGCACAGCATGTACGAGAATAGTAGTACCCACAGCATCCATCGTCACAGTTGACGGTATAGTAGTAGTAGTAGTAGCTCGCCACACACACATCCGCAGCTTCACCTGTGTCAATAAGAAAACATGAGAAAACATCTGCCATTCAAACATACCGTGTGAGTCAACTTCAACACACCATTGAAAGGGCACATCTGAATACTGAGGTAGTCCACCAAAACATATTGAAAGGGCACATCTGAATACTGAGGTAGTCCACCACAAAATATTGAAAGGGCACATCTGAATACTGAGGCAGTCCACCACGAAATATTGAAAGGCAGATCTGAATACTGAGGTTGTCCACCACAAAATATTGAAAGAGCACATCTGAATACTGAGGTAGTCCACCACAAAATATTGAAAGAGCACATCTGAATACTGAAGCAGTCCACCACAAAATATTGAAAGGCACATCTGAATACTGAGGTAGTCCACCACGAAATATTGAAAGGCAGATCTGAATACTGAGGTTGTCCACCACAAAATATCGAAAGAGCACATCTGAATACTGAGGTAGTCCACCACAAAATATTGAAAGAGCACATCTGAATACTGAGGTAGTCCACCACAACATATTGAAAGGGCACATCTGAATACTGAGGTAGTCCACCACAAAATATTGAAAGGGCACATCTGAATACTGAGGTAGTCCACCACAAAATATTGAAATGGCACATCTGAATACTGAGGTAGTCCACCACAAAATATTGAAAGGGCACATCAGAATACTGAGATAGTCCACCACAAAATATTGAAAGGGCACATCTGAATACTGAGGTAGTCCACCACAAAATATTGAAAGGGCACATCTGGATACTGAGGTAGTCCACCACAAAATATTGAAAGGGCACATCTGGATACTGAGGTAGTCCACCACAAAATATTGAAAGGACACATCTGAATACTGAGGTAGTCCACCACGAAATATTGAAACAGCACATCTAAATACTGAGGCAGTCCACCACAAAATATTGAAAGGGCACATCTGAATACTGAGGTAGTCCACCACAAAATATTGAAAGGGCACATCTGAATACTGAGGTAGTCCACCACAAAATATTGAAAGGGCACATCTGAATACTGAGGTAGTCCACCACAAAATATTGAAAGGACACATCTGAATACTGAGGTAGTCCACCACGAAATATTGAAACAGCACATCTGAATACTGAGGCAGTCCACCACAAAATATTGAAAGGGCACATCTGAATACTGAGGTAGTCCACCACAAAATATTGAAAGGGCACATCTGAATACTGAGGTAGTCCACCACAAAATATTGAAAGGGCACATCTGAATACTGAGGTAGTCCACCACAAAATATTGAAAGGGCACATCTGAATACTGAGGTAGTCCACCACAAAATATTGAAAGGGCACATCTGAATACTGAGGTAGTCCACCACAAAATATTGAAAGGGCACATCTGAATACTGAGGTAGTCCACCACAAAATATTGAAAGGGCACATCTGAATACTGAGGTAGTCCACCACAAAATATTGAAAGGGCACATCTGAATACTGAGGTAGTCCACCACAAAATATTGAAAGGGCACATCTGAATACTGAGGTAGTCCACCACAAAATATTGAAAGGGCACATCTGAATACTGAGGTAGTCCACCACAAAATATTGAAAGGGCACATCTGAATACTGAGGTAGTCCATCACAAAATATTGAAAGGGCACATCTGAATACTGAGGTAGTCCACCACAAAATATTGAAAGGACACATCTGAATACTGAGGTAGTCCACCACAAAATATTTAAAGGGCACATCTAAATACTGAGGTAGTCCATCACAAAACATTGAAAGGGCACATCTGAATACTGAGGTAGTCCATCACAAAACATTGAAAGTCACATATGAATACTGAGGTAGTCCATCACAACATATTGAAAGAGCACATCTGAATACTGAGGTAGTCCATCACAAAACATTGAAAGGGTACATCTGAATACTGAGGTAGTCCACCACAAAATATTGAAAGGGCACATCTAAATCCTGAGGTAGTCCACCACAAAATATTGAAAGGACACTTCTGAATACTGAGGAAGTCCACCACAAAATATTGAAAGGGCACATCCGAATACTGAGGTAGTCCATCACAAAATATTGAAAGGGCACATCTAAATCCTGAGGTAGTCCATCACAAAACATTGAAAGTCACATATGAATACTGAGGTAGTCCATCACAAAACATTGAAAGGGCACATCTGAATACTGAGGTAGTCCATGACAAAACATCAATAGTAGATCACATTTGAATATTGTGGTCACTCACCGCAGAAATAATTGATAGCGCACATATGAATACCGTAGTAGTTTACCACAAAACAGAATTGACAGGGGTCATATGAATACCGTAGTACATTTGGTTCACCACAAAACATAATTGATAGAGCTTATTAAAATACCATGGTAGTTCACCACAAACATAATTGATAGAGCTAATATGATAAATACGAATTTCCTGTTAGCTAAATAGACAATACCGTCGATAGAGCATATCATATTACCGTGTTTTTGACCACGACAAGACATCATTGATACTGACCATAATTAAACTGTGTAAGTCACCATGCAGTGACCACTGGGTTTAGTGTTTACTATACAACAGCATTGATACTTTCTGCAATGACATCGTGTTAGAATATTACACACAATGTAACACTGTACACTGAACACAGTGAATATCACATACAATGTAACACTGTATACTGACAACAGTGAATATCACATACAATGTAACACTGTACACTGAACATAGTGAATATCACATACAATGTAACACCTGTATACTGACCACCGTGAATATCACATACAATTACAATGTAATCCTGTATACTGACCATAGAATATGACACCCGTATACTGACCACAGTGAATTTCATATACAATGTAACACCTGTATACTGAACACAGTGAAAATCACATACAATGTAACACATGTATGCTGACCACAGTGAATATCACATACAATGTAACACTGTACACTGAACACAGTGAATATCACATACAATGTAACACCTGTATACTGATCACAGTGAATATCAAATACAATGTAACACTGTACACTGAACACAGTGAATATCACATACAATGTAACACTGTACACTAAACACAGTGAATATCACATACAATGTAACACCTGTATACTGACCACAGTGAATATCACATAAATGAAACACTGTACACTGAACACAGTGAATATCACATACAATGTAACAACTGTATACTGACCACAGTGAATATCACATACAATGTAACACCTGTATACCGACCACAGTGAATATAACATACAATATAACACCTGTATAGAAACCACAGTGAATATCAAATACAATGTAACACTGTACACTAAACACAGTGAATATCACATACAATGTAACACTGTATACTGAACACAGTGAATATCACATACAATATAACACCTGTATACTGACCACAGTGAATGTCACATACAATATAACACCTGTATAGAAACCACAGTGAATATCAAATACAATGTAACACTGTATACTGACAACAGTGAATATCACATACAATGTACCACCGGTATACTGACCACAGTGAATATCACATACAACGTAACACCTGTATACAGACCACAGTGAATATAACATACCATATAACACCTGTATAGAAACCGCAGTGAATATCACATACAATGTAACACTGTACACTGAACATAGAGAATATCACATACAATGTAACACCTGTATACTGATCACAGTGAATATCAACAGTGAATATCACATACAATGTAACACTGTACACTGAACATAGAGAATATCACATACAATGTAACACCTGTATACTTACCACAGTGAATATCACATACAATGTAACACTGTATACTGACAACAGTGAATATCACATACAATGTAACGCATGTATACTGACCACAGTGAATATCACACACAATTTAACACTGTACACTGAACACACTGAATATCACATACAATGTTACACCTGTATACTGACAACAGTGAATATCACATACAATGTAACGCATGTATACTGAACACAGTGAATATCACATACAATATAACACCTGTATACTGACCACAGTGAATGTCACATACAATGTAACACCTGTATACCGACCACAGTGAATATAACATACAATATAACACCTGTATAGAAACCACAGTGAATATCAAATACAATGTAACACTGTATACTGACAACAGAGAATATCACATACAATGTAACGCATGTATACTGAACACAGTGAATATCACATACAATATAACACCTGTATACTGACCACAGTGAATGTCACATACAATATAACACCTGTATAGAAACCACAGTGAATATCAAATACAATGTAACACTGTATACTGAACACAGTGAATATCACATACAATATCACACCTGTATACTGACCACAGTGAATATCACATACAACGTAACACCTGTATACAGACCACAGTGAATATAACATACAATATAACACCTGTATAGAAACCGCAGTGAATATCACATACAATGTAACACTGTATACTGAACACAGTGAATATCACATACAATATAACACCTGTATACTGACCACAGTGAATGTCACATACAATATAACACCTGTATAGAAACCACAGTGAATATCACATACTATGTAACACCTGTATAATGATCACAGTGAATATCACATACAATATAACAACTGTATACTGACCACAGTGAATAACACATACATGTATAGTATAACACCTGTTTATTGACCACAGTGAATATCACATACAATGAAACGCATGTATACTGACCACAGTGAATATCACACACAATGTAACACTGTACACTGAACACACTGAATATCACATACAATGTTACACCTGTATACTGACCATAGTGAATATCACATAAAATATATCACATGTATACTGACCACAGTGAATATCAAATACAATGTAACACTGTATACTGACAACAGTGAATATCACATACAATGAAACGCATGTATACTGACCACAGTGAATATCACATACAATAAAACACCTGTATAGAAACCACAGTGAATATCACATACTATGTAACACCTGTATACTGATCACAGTGAATATCACATACAATGTAACAACTGTATACTGGCCACAGTGAATAACACTTACATGTATAATATAACACCTGTTTATTGACCAAAGTGAATATCACATACAATGTAACGCATGTATACTGACCACAGTGAATATCACACACAATTTAACACTGTACACTGAACACACTGAATATCACATACAATGTTACACCTGTATACTGACCACAGTGAATATCACATACAATGTACCACCGGTATACTGACCACAGTGAATATCACACACAATGTAACACTGTACACTGAACACACTGAATATCACATACAATGTAACACCTGAATACTGACCACACTGAATATCACATACTATTTAACACCTGTATTCTGACCACAGTGAAGACCACATACAATGTAACACCTGTATACTGACCACAGTGAATATCACATACTATGTAACACCTGTATACTGACCACAGTGAATATCACATACAATGTNATACTGACCACAGTGAATATCACATACAATGTAACACCTGTATTCTGAACACAGTGAATATCACATACAATGTAACAACTGTATACTGACAACAATGAATATCACATAAATGCACATTGTAACATATGTATACTGACCACAGTGGATATCACATACAATGTAACACTGTATACTGACCATAGTGAATACCACATACATGTATAATGTAACACCTGAATACTGACCACACTGAATAGCACATACTATGTAACACCTGTATTCTGACCACAGTGAATATCACATACAATGTAACACATGCATACTGACCACAGTGAATATCGCATACAATGTAACACCTGAATACTGACCACAGTGAATATCACATACTACGTAACACCTGTATACTGACCACAGTGAATATCGCATACAATGTAACACCTGAATACTGACCACAGTGAATAGCACATACTATGTAACACCTGTATTCTAACCACAGTGAATATCACATACAATGTAACACATGTATACTGTCCATATTGAACATCACATACAATGTAACGCATGTACACTGACCACAGTGAATATCACACACAATTTAACACTGTACACTGAACACACTGAATATCACATACAATGTTACACCTGTATACTGACCACAGTGAATATCGCATACAATGTAACACATGCATACTGACCACAGTGAATATCGCATACAATGTAACACATGCATACTGACCACAGTGAATATTACATACAATGTAACACATGCATACTGACCACAGTGAATATCACATACACTGTAACACCTGTATTCTGAACACAGTGAATATCACATACAATGTAACAACTGTCTACTGACAACAATGAATATCACATAAATGCACATTGTAACATATGTATACTGACCACAGTGGATATCACATACAATGTAACACTGTATACCATACATGTATAATGTAACACCTGAATACTGACCACAGTGAATATCACTTACTATGTAACACCTGTATTCTGACCACAGTGAATAACACATACAATGTAACACCTGTATACTGACCGCAGTGAATATCACATACAATGTAACACATGCATACTGACCACAGTGAATATCACATACAATGTAACACCTGTATACTAACCACAGTGAATATCACATACAATGTAACACCTGTATACTGTCCATATTGAACATCACATACAATGTAACACCTGTATACTGAACACAGTATCAGTGTGTATATCTTCCACACACCTTCGTTGATGCTAACAATATTGATACCGTGCTTTCACAAAAAAAATATTATTGAAACTGAGCTAGCATTGATCTGTGTTGGTCCATTATACAGCACCATTGATAAATTCATTAAACTAAGTTTTATCTTCATACCACATTTTTGAAAAAATGTAATGTTCAACAGAAAATTATAACAGTCAATCTCACAACATATTCGATAAGTCAGAGTAAGGAAATTGTATTTCACCATTAAAAAACCCATTTGATTAGGAATACAACGGTTCTGCATTACATGAAGCCTATTACAACCCCCACCCAGTACCCCAGTACACGCAAGTTTGAAGCAAGTCTGACTGCCCTGTTTTGGGCTTATATCCTTTCAGTTTGTCATGCTGGTGGAGCGTAGCAGTGCACGAGGTACAGGAAACGTGAAGGTGCCTTAAAGCTTCCGGATATAGACACTATCCGGGACGATTCTGTCTATTTCTTTGTAACACGTACACAAGTAAATGTTGTTGTTCAATGTTTTATGATAAATGATTTATGTTTGGTTGAGAAGGCCGAATTAGAACATAACAGTCCTTATTTACTAATTCAATACGGATCGATCTATTACATGTAAAATTTGAAAGTGTTCCAAAAGGGTTGTGATAAGGGTTTTGCGGACTACTACGGTGATGGCTGATACGGGATTTGGGCTGTGAAACGGCGAGGGCTGATATGGGTTAGAGCAATTGCGTCGTTTCGCATATACAAAAAGAATTGTTTATTAGTAAGTATTATGTGTGTATCAATAAATATTTATAATAAAACAAAAATTAAATTTCTGTACCGTTTATTTTTTAGATGGAATAGTTCATGTAGATGAAACTGTGTACAGATTGTTAATTCTGTACTGTAATATATGGCAGTGTGATGTGAAAAAAATGGATATTACAGCCTAGTGCGCATTAAATCTCATATAGTGCAGTAAGGCTCCTTGTGTGACATAAGATATATCACATAAGCTAAAATGTCTTGATGACAATATCTTAGATAAGATTCATCAGTTTGGAAATATGAAATATCAAAGTTTTACTTTCTGCACAAACAATGAACGTAGTAAACATGTCTCGACGTTTAAAGACTGACTGGTTCCTTTGTCAATCTGCTATGGCATAGCTTGACAAAGGTCATAGCTTGAGAAATGGACCAGTCGGTCTTGATACGTTTCACAGCTTGACAAAGGGACCAGTCAATCTTGAAAGGTTGCGACATGTTTAATACGTACCTTGTTAAATACAAGATACACGAATTTTTATTTAACGTCGCATATTCAAAACAATAAATATTAGCACTATAGTGATATTCTTGCGATAAACAATGGATATGAATAAGAAATAACATAAGTTACCAGCATGCTGGTAAATTCAAAGCTAGTTACGGAATGGTAAGCAAATATCACAGGATAATTAAACAAGTAAAAACAATACAGGTATAAAAGCAAAGCAGCACTAAAGTAATCATAGACAGGTAGTATTTGAAGTTAAATGTATAAACTGGAGGTAAACAATATATACTAGGAAGTAACAAAATAATTTATTGCTGCTGAGGTATATGCTAATATAGCAAAGTATAGTTGACCGGGTTGTGTAGAAAGTAAAATTTTGATATTGTCTTGATGACAATGATTGCATGATTTTTTTAGGAATGAAATAGAATTTCACATGATGTAAAATGCTGTAGTTGTAATGTAATACTGAAACATATGTGACACTGAAATAAATTACATTTTGTTGTTTTCGTTGTAAGTTATCAATAAATTTAATATACCTGTATTTCACAGGTGTATACAATGAATTTGATATCTGATTCTGTAATTATTTCCTACAAAAAATCTTCACAAAGTTCCTAAAGTAAAAGGAAAATAGTGAAACTTGGTATTGAATATAATTTACGCAAATAAGACAAAATAACACAGTCTTCATAATATGCGTAATATATATATTTTGGTCCCCATCTCATTCCTTTACTTAAGTGTTTTCATTAACAATATTTTTGGAGTTACAGAAATCAGAAGTTAAGTTAATTAATCCTTACCTTCAGTATTTATTCCTTATAACAAATCATAGGTTAAATAGTGTCCTCACATTCAGGAAAGATTTTAAAGCTGGTCTCTCATCTCATTCAATATAACTAGCTATCAATATAATTGTCATAAATATAAAAAAAAAAAAACATACCTGTAAGGAAGGAAAGGAGGATGACGAGAATTCCTAAAAGCTCCGCCATTTTGTCGTCCAATTAATATAATTGATAAGAATGATATAGTTGTGCAAAGCACCTGACACTATATCTCGTTGTCTGTTGTAAAAAAACAGTATTGAATTGGCACCGTGTACAAATACAATATAAAAAAGGTACGGTCAGGTCGGTGTAGATAAATATTTTTATGTATATCTATTCAACATTAATAGAGCGTGCCGAGAACAATGTCGCCAGGTCCGTGTTGTTGGAAGCAATACAAATCAAAAAGAATATATACATTGTTTATATATCTACGTGTGTGTTATTTGAGCATGCGTCTTTTTAGTGCTTTAAAGATACGGTATCCTTGTTACAAAAGAAAAGATCTAACTAATGGGAGACGTTATATTCCAAAGGGGCAACACGTTAACAACAATAGTTTACGATTTTTTTTTTTTAAATCGTGTACAAAACAGTTTAAATATTTGGTAGAAAACAATAAAAAAAATATTAATGATAAAATAAAAAATTTAAAAGTGCAAATGTACATAATTTCTGTCATTTTATCATGTACTTTGGATTGAGAAATGCAAAAAAAAAATCAATACTCATAGATGCAAAATTACAACTACGAATTCATTCCTGAACCAGTTTTTAACCATTCTCCGTGAAACATATCAACTATTATTAAAACAAAATTAACAAATCGTCAATGAAAATATAATTTCAACTTAGAATCGATGAAACTAGGGCATAACATAAACAAAGGAAAGATTTACATGTAGACCATTGAAAGGAAGTAAGACCAGGTATTCTGGAAGGGAAAAGGGGGTTTTCTACTTCACATTTTCATGGACGAAAACGACTATGTAGATCGTCTTCAAAGCGAGAATCATGGTAATGACCACGCAAACACAAGACAGACTAATGAGCATGATAAAAAAAACATCGACCTTCATATCATGTATATTATGGTTTTTTTTATCCTTTCCTTGTTTTAACCTGCCCGAAGTCTCTTTCGAATCAAGTGTAATAACCACTTGGTACGAGAGAGAGCGCCGAGGGTCCTCGATCCTTGGCAGAAAAAGAGAAACTTTAATCGTAACGTCATTTAACCGACATTCGACCACGTTTGCAATGTAACGACACTTTTCATTGGTTAATAACCATGGATTTTTGGACGATAGACCATGCATGTGTGTGTTATTTTCCAACAGACCAATACTCTTCATAAACCTTCCTCCATAAATGTACCGGTAAACAAGTAGGTCGAGGACTGGTATTATTTGTAGAATGAGGGTACCCGCATTTAATTTTGTATGTTTTCAAAATTTGATCTACTTTAACATGTCAAGCTCAGAATGTTCCTCTGAACCTACCGCGAAGATGACATGAAATAGCGTTTGTGAATCTGTCAATTGCTGATTTCATGTGTTGACGAGCGATGTCGATATATTTGTGGATTTGATTGATAGAAATAAACATCTGGCATACAACAATATGTCAGTGTTTATTGTTTATCGTCTGTCGATCGAATGGCGACTGAAAATTAAAATAAAATACTTCCTATATATCCAGGTTAAAATGCATCAGAAATCAGAATCAGAAATGATAAAAACGCCAAGCTTGTTGTGAAATGAAGACATGAAGTCATCACGTGCAAGACTTTCATTACATTTTACTTGGTAGAATAGATATAATCAGCATATGTTTGAATATTATGGTGGAATAGTTGGGAAAATGATCACCTCAGGCCGCAAGCGGTCGTCGTTAATGATTTTGTCCATCATTTGCTCATCCTCCTTAATATACTCCAACATAATACACGCATATTCGTTGCTTATATCTATTCTACCAAGTAAAATGTAATGAAAGACTTTTTCGTGTCTACCTCTATCTATACAAAAACAGGTGTTAATATCTTTCTTTTTTACAAAACAATGTACCCTGGGCGGTGACTGTTTCACTGTTTTAATACTGCCAGTATTGATGATGTACAGTACTGGGAAATACAACCATGATCATTATATAAACAACACAGATTTTACACTTTTCTATTTGCCTTGTATCCACATATTCCCCACTTATCTCATGTTCAAGCTGTCCTGGTAGATACATGTAATAAATGTCTTCGTTGCGTATATTTGTGTCACTTTCTGTGACATTTTTTTTTTATCTTTTCGGTCTGAAAGATCAAATCCTCAAAGACTATTTCTCTTATCGGTAATACAATGTGTTTCAAATGCTACCTGTATGTGATTACTTTTGTGCTGCTTTGCTTTTGTACCTGTATTGTTTTTACTTGTTAAATTATCCTGTGATATTTGCTTGCCATTTATTAACTAGCTTTGAATTTACCTACATGCTGTTTATCCATGTTAGTTTTTATTTGTATTCATTGTATGTCGCAAGAGTAACACAACGGTGCTAAAGTGTACTGCTTTAAATATGCGATGTTAAATACAAATTCTTGTATCTTATATCTAGGGTTATTTTGAACTTTTCTATAATGCTGTTTTCAATAATGGTGATATTTTGAAATTATGTCAGCTAACATACTTATTTGAAATGACAGATAAGGAGGCCGCCACATACAAGCAATTGTCAACTTGACCCTATTTCGTTGAGATGCGGTACCCTGCCTAATCTGATACCCGTTTTCGGCATTATTGAGTCTGATGTTGGGTAACAGGGCACTGTGTGTTCATTTAATGATAAACAGTTCTTGCTTAAAACACATCAGATTTTGATATGTTCATAAATCCCTCATAATTTTTTCTTGACTTTCTAATGGGTTTTCAACGATTTTTGCCATTAAAAAGATATGAGGCGTTCCTAACCCTCCTAACCCATAATGAAATTCAATTAAGAAAACAATGTCAGAACGATATTGTTTTTTTAAGCCTTAGCCCGTTGAAAGTTGGCATTGTGTACTCAACATTTAAATACTACACTTATCTCACCACGTGACGTTGGTTCGGTTAATAAAATATAAAATATATCTATGTACATATATATTAAATGTACAATTTCAAGTTTAGACAAAAACTTGAATCGGAACAACAATTATAAAAGGTAAAATCAAAACGACTTTATTAAGAACAAATTCAAGCATGACATCATAACATAGTTTGAGTTGGGATATATATGGACCTTCAGAATTTTAAATTTAATTAATCATGCGCTCTGTCAGCTATTGTAACTGGGCTGGGTTAGTTCCCAGTGAATATTTGAAGAACTCACAAAGACTGTACAAATCAGTTCATGTTCATTCTTGCACTTATATCATCAAATTCCATGAATCAATATCTGTCTGTTTCATCTTTTACATGTATATCCTGAATTCTGTAACAGATACATTTAGATGACATACATATCTCTTACATCTATACTTACACCTATACTTGCATGCATACATACATTACACACATACATACATATGACCATATTTATTCAATGTTAATGTTAATCTATGAAACCATATCATTCTGACAATACACAATATGTTAGATTTATGAACCTTTACACAATATAAAATACAGTCTAAGGGGAGATAATACACCCTCAGCATTACATTTAGCATTAACTTGAAATGATACTCAAAATACAAACTTCGCGATAATATATAGATATATGTGTACCTGGCTATGGACCGAATTCCCAGACTCTTCCGAAATGTAATCAATATTCAGTCACATACTTCTACGATACATCTTATGAACTGTGCTCGCCTGGACATATTTTTAATTAGGTTCATTCATTAAGACAACAAGTTGCTGTACAGTGTTAAAAGAGTTAAAACCTGGTACAATCTGGTCTGCTGTTGTAAAAAGATGAGCTCTGATATCTGAATAAAAATCAAATTCAATCATAAATTGTAACAGAAAGGTATGTTGTCCTTCATTTAAAGTACACGAGGATATGATCAACGTGCTCAGAACTTCTTGAAAATGAAAGCAAGTCGTCCAAGAGAAGTACACAGTGTCTTCCTATGGGTATGCAAATAGCCTGCTTGAAAAAGTTACCACACAATTCAATAAATGTATTTATTTTATGAGGCCAAATCAAAATAATGTCATGTTCTCATAGCAGGAGCGGAGGTAGTGACAACAAAACTTTATTTTGGGCATGCCCAAATAAGCATTGTAATTGTTATTGTGTATTGAGTACTTGACAGGAACGTCTTGCATGGAACTTTGAGGATTACTTTCATTGAACATAAGATCTACCTACATTCCCTTTGTGAATAATAATTCACTATTATTAAAACGCGAAGGTCATTGTGTTGTGACAATAAGTAATAACATAATGAAACCTCATGATCAATTGAGGTTATGGGCATGTACAAAATAAGTTTTAAATAATTATTACAAAAAATGGCATTAATCTACATTAAATTTGAAAACAAAATGAAATGAAAAATAGAATCTCAAAATTGTAGAAACATATATACTAGTATACATGCGACGCATAAGCTATATACACAATGAAATATTGTCTGCGTTCAAAAAAGGGCTTATGATTAGTTGGAAGAAAACATACATGTATAAACATCATTAAATATACATGTTGTCCCGACAATATCAACTAGTATAATTGTGGTACCTAATAATATGTAGATCTTGCTGTCGACAGCGATTCTACTCGTCCCTTATATACAAGGTACGTAAGACTGGTGGTTTAAACAGGTTTTTATCTCGTAGTTATTGTATAATCATGAGTTAATGTTTCTCCGGAAGTGAGTGATGGAATTCGGACGGATTCGATGAACCCACTGCTCCATATTCTGGTGGCGGTTCATTTGGAAGACTGTACATCACCACAGGGGTAGAATAGGCCACGGCCATCGTTTGTTGTTGGTAGACTGCGTTCTGCTGGACAGAATAGTGTACACCCGGCTCGGCAGGATTAACTGCAAGGTATAGAATGGTCCACGGTCAAAAGAAAAATACTATTTTATTTGCCACTAAAATAACTTGAAGATGTTAGTACGTCCTTTCATCCATCCGTAAAAGTTTGTCTTCGGATATTTTTTAAATGCCGCACCAGGATTAACCAAATCAGTATGCCATAATGGCGGAGTGCAGTTTACAAAAAGTAGGTCACAGTGATCTATGCTCTGATCTCTGATCTTAGTCAATGCAAAAAAACAATTGTTCAAAGCTTTTCTTCTATATTTCTCTTGTGATAACAAAAATTTGTTAAGCAGGTTTTATGAAAATATACTATTGTGGTATTGGTATACCATTCTAATGACAATTTCATTACTGCGATTCATGTTGATTTTTTGTTTATGAGTATAAACTTACCCGATCTATTTTGTTTTTTGCTACAGTATAAACACAGACATATTAAGAATATAACCCAGCCGAGGAAGCAGATACCGCCGATAATGGATCCAACAATAACAGGAATCCTGAAAAGATAATTAATATACATGTTCATACATATGCTTGTTGGTATAATCAATAATTAATATTCAAGTTCATACATAAACTTGTTAATATTCAAGTTCATGCATAAACTTGTTTGTATACTCAATAATCAATATTCAAGTTCATACATAAACTTGTCGGTATAATCAGTAATTAATATTCATTTTCATACATAAACTTGCAGGTATACTCATTAATTAATATTCAAGTTCATACATGTGTTTGTTCGTACGATCAATATGTTTCATAAAGGCTAATACATTTCTTTGTTGATATGATCAATAATTAATATACAGGTTTATACAAATGTTTGTTGGTATGCTCAATAATTAACATACAAGCTCATCCATTAATTGGTTGGTATGATCAATAATTAATTTACAAGTTCATACACATGTTGGTTGGTATGATCAAAATGATACTTTATTTTACACAGCTTCAATAAAACTAGTCAGAACGTTTTAAGTTTAACTTATTTTTCTTATTTCACATTTCAATCTTTCAATTTAATCAAATTAAAAGTATGACGTCATCAACCATTATGACGTGTCGTCATGATCAAATAAACTACGTCACTAGTGCTACATTCATGTCGGTACATTTCAAAAAACCACGCTTACTCAATAGTTATGATTTTCAATTGACTAATGAAAAAGGATAAACTCATGGATTTAAAGAGATAACTTTCGATGTTTTATTGTAAATTATAGCTAACATGATAATAATGATATTCAATAATAAACATTGTACCACATATAGTGCCAAATCTAGCTTACATAAACCACTCTAAAGCGCTTAACAGTGAATAGATATACAATTAATACAATGAGCATATTAATCAATTCAATTTTTGAGGAATTCGTCTAGCCATATGCCACATGTCTAGTATCTCCCTATGTGTGTATGCCTGCGTGTGTGCTGGATATGTAATGTTACTTACAGTGGATTAGAACAGCACTTCCTGTAGTAGTAGTTTCCACAACAGCCATGCTCACAGTCAATCTTGTACTTATCGTTATGGTTCACCGTGTAGGTAGCATAACATATTTCGGCATCAACCAGGGAGTACCCTGTAAAACGGGAAAGAGGACTCATTTAAAATTCTGAACTCAGTACGTAACCGTAAATACATATAATTTAAAGACACTCTTTTGTATTTCACCTTAGTACAGCCCGCCTGCTGAGCCAAATAACAACACATTTATTCAATTACCTGTAAAAACAGCAATTAAGATAAGTAGATTCAAGGTATCCGCGTAATATTTATCTGTATTCTCGAGCACAGGTCGTGATATATCGTTCACAGACGTTCATTAAATGTCTTTCATGGGTATTCGGTGGGTAACCTAAATTCTTACGTACAGTCTATATATTACAATAAGAGACGTATATTGTAATAAAAGAATCCATTGTAATAAATCACACGGCCATCAAAATTAGTCTCTGTATAATGTATAAGTAGTTATATGAGTCAAGGATTTAAAAAAAAAGATTTGTTAAATCTAAATGATATCTAATAACAATACAACTATATATAATGAAGTCATGTGATATAGAAGTTCGTACTGAGTCGTGTATGGTGTATTATATTGGATATTCAGACAATTAAAGAAACTATTTAAACATATTAGACCGCAGCCTTTTGACATTATTTGGTTCATGTTATGAGACAAGTTAGATTGTAGACAAAATAAGATAACGTTTTAATTAGTACAATGTATTACATTCATGTTTTATATATCTAAAATATAAAAAAAAAAACGAATGGAATTATAGGGATTTAAAAAATAATCGCTTTTAGATAATTGTACATTACAATAGGTTCAACTACAAAAAACATTTTATCTTTTGTCTCCTTGTGCATATTGAAACGAACGCAAGTTCACCGTTCTCTGATTGATAATATCATTCAATCATACAGGATATTCGCTGGATTATCGGATGTTTGCATAGTTTCATAAGTTTTTATGATACTGATCATCAGCGTATACGAAATTATAACCAAACAACAGGCATCATTCAAAACATCATCAGGGCAGGTAACATACCTTCGTAATTGCAATGTAATTAGTCAGCGCCATTCAGGTCAGCCTCTCCAATAACTTCATCCACCTCCTCATCCGAGATTTTTAACTTAAAGTCAATTTGTGTTGTAATTCAGCTGCTTTTTGATGTTTATCATATACTTTAAACGTCTCTTGCAATTCCTCTTCACCTCCTGTATCCTCTACCTAACAGGCCATTTTTGTGAGGAGTTCGGAAAAGCCTATTCTACCTTTTCCTAGGATAAATAAAAAAAACAATATTAATCTTCATTCATGGTACTTGGCTTAGCTTTGATATTTACGACTTGTTCGATTTAATTATATTGATACTTCTGATATAAGCATGTATAATAAAAGACAATTGCGGTTTATTGACTATTTTGTTAGTATAACGTCTGCTTTGTTTTCTTTTTACAGATACCATACCATCAAGTGTCCGCGTAAGTAGATGCAAAATATATAAATAACATAACAAAATGACCTTTATACCAATATCTATAAAATATATATCGCTGTAGTGGGATAATTGTTGCTGGTTAACGGACTTATTTTGTAAAGGGTCTCTTGATTGGACAGTCTGATAACTTAATGTTGACACTAGTAATTATGTCACAAGATGAATATTGAGTGGAGAAAGAGAATAGATATTTACGGTCGTGTATCAAGTGTAGGTTTGAATTAATGTACCTATCTTATGTCTTAAATCAGATTTCGTATACATCTGAGAATTATTAGAATTAATTTAAAAAATATTGTTATTATTCGACCAATCACAGTTTATAATTTTCCCATTAATTACATAAGCTTCACAGAAAATTATTATTTATACAAAATATTAAATGGTATAAAATTTTATGGTACATGTACCAATATATAAGTCCGTTCTCCTTATAACTAGGTGATATGACCAATAACGACTGCCTGTGTACAACAAGTACATTTAACTGGTACTGTAGCACTTTGAGTATTACGTCCTATGAAGCCAAAATACAGCTATAGAAGTATAAAGTCATATACACGAAGTATAAACATACACATATATACATACCATATTGTAATAAAAAGGTCTCGAGAACGCCCTTGAGTAGCGATCCATTTAAATGTGTAAGTTATTGGTTTTATTACTATATCGGGAAACTCTCTAGGACGCCATTTGTTCTATTGATATTATTACAATGTATATGCTTGAATAATCAATTTTAAAGGTAATCCCATTTTCTTTTAATAAGGAATCCTTCCTTTTCGGAATAGTGTCACAGTCAGGAATAGGCAACAGACAGGATAATGAAATTTTAATTATGATCAAACACTAATTTTATAAAACAAGATGCCTTCAAAACACTTTGTCTTATTTAACAGCATAACAGACCATCATTCTGTACAAAAGTATATAGCATGTTGCAAGGGGGATAATTTTGTAAAGAAAACTGGAAAATGGAACAACCTCCTGGAATTATAAGCCAAAAATTAAATTGTTTAATATCGTCAAGTCAGTAGATACAATACATCTCCTCCTACAGTTCTCATTTTATACTTTGAAATTACACTGATGCACATACATGTATCCAGCACACACTAAGTTTTCACAGGGGCTTATTTTGGCAGTTATGCCCCTTTTACTATACCTGTATAGAATCTTGCCTGAACTCCAACTTTTTTGTCCCTTTTTTGTGAATTTGAGCTGAAGATTATGATATAAATATATTTTGTCCTGAGTAATACCCACATTTCTCGGGCACATTTTGTAAGGAAACTTGGTATAATTAACCCAAGGGTAAATTTATAATGGGACAGAAAGGTGAAATTATCCTACCAAGCTATAATTCTGAAAAAGAAAAGCAAGTTCAGTGATTTCTTTCTGAATAAAATCAGCTCAATCAGGAAAAATATTGCCGAAGTGAACACCTCTGCTGACATTGACATCTCTGTAATGACTGCTGGCTTTGTATTTGATGGGGAACCATTGGCAAAGCTCTCACCAACAACCCAGGAGGAGTTGCGCAACATTATCATGACCTCGTAATCAAAGTCCTGTGAGCTTGATCGACTGCCTACAGACCTATCAAAGCAATGTCTTGAAGAACTGATTCCTTTGATAACCTTAATCATGAACAAATCATTGGCTGAGTAAAGGGTTCCGTTATGTTTCAAGAAAGCACATGCCAAACCATTGTTAAAGAAGCCTGGAATGAACAAGGAGGAGTTGAAAAACCACCGCCCAGTTTCAAATCTACCTTTTCTGTCTAAGATCTTGGAGAAGGTTGTGTCCCGGCGTTTAGAGGTTCATCTCTATGCAAACAGTCTCCATGACAACATGCAATCGGCATACCGCATGGGACACTCTACTGAGACGGCCCTCCTACGTGTACATAATGATATAGCTTCTGCATTGGATAACAAGCGCAGAGCGGTGCTTGTCATGCTGGACTTGTCAGCTGCATTTGACGTCATCGACCATAGCATACTTTATAAACGTCTGGAATACTCTTATGGAGTGACTGATACCGCACTATACTGGATACAGTATTACCTGAGTGAACGACGACAGTGTGCTGCCATCGGATCTTCCACCTCGCATGACAAAGTACTAGATTTCGGGGTTCCTCAAGGGTAGTTGTTAGGACCACAAAAATATTGTATGTACTCCAAACCGATTGGTGATATTTGTCGTCGGCATAGTCTTCGCTATCATTGCTATGCCGATGACACACAAATTTACATGGTCATCAAACCACAGGACAGTTGGAATACAGTCTCAGAAAGTCTGGAAGCTTGTCTGACAGATATCAGTATCTGGATGAACGCCAACATGCTTAAGCTTAATCAGGAAAAGACGGAACTAATCGTCTTTTCCCCAAAGTGTCAGCAAACAATGGCTCTCCAGCTCAAGGTCGGTACCATAAAAACTGTTAAAAACCTAGGGGTATACTTTGATAGTTCACTGAACATGGAGAAACAAGTGAACGCTTATTACCAAATCCTGTTGCTACCAGATCAGGAACATTGGCTGTATTTGGCAGTTGTTAACTGCAGATGCATGCAAGATTTTGGTACATTCACTTGTTACCTCTCGGTTGGATTATGGTAACGCCCTGCTCTGTAGTATATCTGACAAACTAACTAGTCGTCTGCAGAGGGTCCAGAACACTGTAGCACGGCTAGTTACTCGTACTCGAAAGAGAGAGCACATCACACATGTGCTTTATTCGTTGCACTGGTTACCTGTACGATACAGGTCGCAGTACAAAACTCTGGTGTTCACATACAAGGCACTGAATGGAACAGCTCCTCAGTACCTACAGGAGCTTGTTACCCTGTATCAGCCGTCACGATCACTGCGGTCAGAGTCAGGATCTTTGTTGTGTGTTCCAAAATCTCGTACTGTGACCTACGGAAACAGATTATTTGGGAGGGTTTCGGTTACGTTGTGGAATACCTTACCATCTGCTATTAGAAAGTCAAATACCCTGGCCAAGTTCAAGAGGGACATCAAAACTCACCTCTTCACGTCTGCATTTTAGAATCTTTGCAAAGACGTCATGTAAATACCATCATTTTATTTGTTCAATTGTGTGCACATTGCTTGCTTAAATGTATAGAAGTGATTGTAAGCGTTTGTTTTTTGTTTTCACAATTATAACCATTACTATTATCCATATGTTGTAAAGCGCTTTAGACTAATTTTACAAATCATATAGGGCGCTATATAAATTTGTATATTATTATTATATAGCTTTATTTACTTGCAGTTTAAAGCCGAAATCACCTTACTGACAACTAGTACAGAAGATTGTCTTATAATCTATTCTTGAGCTGCAGTGCAAAAACCAGATTCTCCTTTTCTTCCTTTTTCTGTTGACTTTCTCCTTTTTTTATTTGCTATTTTTTTTTCTTCTTTTCTATTCTCTCTGTCTCTCTCTGTTCTCATAAAGGCAATATGTGTACCATTACATGTACTGTCGTCTAATATATTAACTGATGTAAGTAAGAGTATATATGAGTCGTGTGAGGTATGAATATATAATATGAATTGTTTGATTGTAACTATTAATGCAAAAAAAATCTTCAATAAAAAGAAAATCTAATAAAAAAAATGTTAAAGGTAATGTACTGAAAAGATGTATGTGTACCTGTATACAACATTGCGACGAAACACTTTGATAAATTACTGGCACGTTTTACCGATATAAACAGGGTTTCTATTAATAGGTACTTCCAAACTGTTCCAGGTATATTTATAGGACAGGTAAATTCATACATTATCGGTACTTAAATAGTCAGTAAAACAATAGAGGATTTTTAGATGAAACCTGTGTTTTTGATCGCCATTTTTATGACCTGCCACGAGGTGGAGCGTTGGATATAGTGTTATCTTTGTCCGTACGTCCGTACGACCGTACATCTGACCGGTCCGTTGATTTTGCGTTTGGTTCAATAAAGAACCAATTACTGCAGCTATATAGGGTCATGGAAATTCACATGATTACATGAACCACCTTTATGAAGAGAACATGTTTTTGGGGCCTTGACCTTTGTTCTTGACCTCTGTGTCCTTGGTCAAGCTTATAGTTTTTGTCCGTTATAGAATAATTACTGCAGGCAGGGTCATGTAACTTTATATACTAATTCTCCTCTATCAATATAGCATGTTGCAGTGTTGCTTGACTTTTTATAACCTTTACCGTTGACATTGACCTCTATGACTTTGTTTTGATTCTTAATCATGGGAGTGGAGTATCATCGTTGTCTTACAGATACATTTATAGTTTAAACTTAAAACCTTAGTAGGCCTTTGTGTTGACAATAAAAGTAGTTTGCAACAAAAAGGAACACACATTAAATAAACCAAAACGCTAGATATTAAGTTACAATTAGTATTGCTTTTGTAATAACCTACTACAGAATGAAAGAAAGCTTAAAACAGTTTTCTTACTTCTTGTTTTTTGTGATTTATTTGTGTCACATGGTGGTTGATTTATTCTTGGGGCTATCAGTACAATGAGGATTGCATTAATTCTTATATGTATATGTATATAAATATATTATTTGTTGTAGCCAAAATGTTGTATTAAATATCCCACTTACAGCTGTATTTAAACATGTTTCGGCACACTAATATATATATCTAGTATATGCTTGAAAATGTCTCTTGTGTTTTTTAAATTTTTCTATGTACAACGGATGTGAGTTATATATAATAATTTTACTTAGTTCCCTTTTATCTGTCAGCGCTTCATCAAGCTATTCCTATATTTGCCAAATTTACCAAGGTAATCTTTTATCTTTTTTTAAATTTACCAAGGTAATCTTTTATCTTTTTTTAAATTTTCCAAGGGAAATTTGATCTTTTGCAAATTTACCAAGTTTATTTTTGTCTTTTCTATTATGCCAATGTTATCTTGTGTCTTCTTTTTCGAATGCTATCGTTGACCTTTTCCGATTTTTTATTTTCAGTTTTGCCTAGGTAACATTTTCTTTCTTTCTTAGTTTCACGTATGCTTTCTTACACCTATTGTAGTTATAGTCAGATTATCTTCCTTCTGCATAATTCACCAGGGTTTTCTACTATTTTTTTAGTTTTTTAGTTTTTCATGTTCTTTACAATTACACAACAGGGTTTCATAAACAAAACAAAGCAGATTTTTTTTCACAAAAGTCAATGTTTTTAATAGGATTTGAAAGTGGTTTTTTTTTTTTTTTTTTGCTACATTCAATTTAAGCTGCATTTAGCTCATTGACAAATGAGCAATACAAAATGCATAGATTTACGAAAATAGATACATAAATGCTTGAGGTAGGATAAATTTAGATACAAATACACTTGGTGAATACTCAGATGTTATGGATATGAAGCCATGACAAGATGAGGAACTTAAGGATCCATTTCAATTTCTGAAAATGAAGGAATAACTTTCGAGACTTTTATGTATATGTGTAAAAACACAACGGAACAAAAACGGTAGTCAAACCCTGTGGACTCCAGCTTATTATTCTGTCGCTCACACTAAGTGAGTTACCTTGTCAACGAAAGCATCCCGTCCAAGCCGAGCTACAGTTATATCCAAAACGGAACTAAGGGGAGGTTACTCTATCTGCGATGGAACTCTCTAGTGTTTCGCCTGTGTAGGGACAGGGATCCTTAAGTTAACTTTATATAAATATTTCTTGAGGCTGGTAATAAATTTTGCTGGGAAAAATCAATGTAGATAAACAGTTGGTGTAGTACCATATGACAGTTAGGGGTTATAATATGAATTTAAAAGAAACAACATCTATAAATTGTCAAACATATCAGATATGTCCGAATAATTAACAACAGAACAAACCAACACAATGTCGGACTTAATATTCAACGTTACTCATCTACCATTTTGGATTGGGAGCATTTGATGCATGATTTGAAATCAGCTGTAGAGAAAGTAGAAGTACCCTACAGACGAAACATATCCTTTCTGTGTTGCCCTACTTGACTAATGATATTGCATACCAACACACATATCACTACAACTAAAGCATATTTGTAAGGATTAAGGACTAGTACATGTATAAGATACGAGGATACAAAAAATAATTTTATATTTACATTTCTGCTGAAACTTAACTCAGTATTCCTACTGAATAAACGTTCCAGATGGCGTATGAATATGTCAGCAAATAAGTTCAGGAGGTAGTCCTTTTTACATATCGTTTTATTTACAAATTGTCTATCATGAGTATTCATATGTTATACTGTTTTAAAAGTTGTAATCAATGTGAAACATCTATTATTTTTGCCAGGATGCACAATGAGTGACATATGTTTGGCAACTTCCAATATTCTTGAAATTATCAAAAATTATCACGAAACTTAATGTAAATCTGAGGATCGCATCATGCTCTGTGCATAAAATTTGTCTCAAAATCCTTTGAGGTTTATACACCATAACTCCAACAGAAAAGACTTAAATCCTTTAACAAACAGTTTAGTAATTCGTTTGGGACTACAGAACATTGAACGAAATACATGATATTGTCTCACACAAAATCTACAAAAATCTGCATAATTCTCATATAACGGAAAGCATAAGGATGCCAACAAATTGCCAAAATGCCAATTGCGTATTTCACGCTGTTGAAGCTGTGATATATCTTTCCCTTTTTACTTATGTCGAAAAGCCTCTTTCGTGACGTGTATATAGAATTGTATAACCCCTTTGAGAAAAATCTAGGAATCTGATTGGTTAAAAACTACAGTGTACCAAACCGCATTCGTAAATCTCAGGGGGTATACGAAAATCTCAGGGGGTATACGGTCATGTCACGTGATTCTCAGCAGTAATACGGTGGAATCACGTGATTTTACAAGGGGTATACGGGTCACGTGTCTTTGTATCTTGCGGCCGGGAATCGGGAGACAACTTGCATTCGTCGTCTGCTTCGCTGTTTACAAAATGGCAAAACGTTTCGCTTCGCATACTGATGAGGAAACAGTGCCACATAACACACAAAAGTCGAACAGACGAGCATCAAACATGCTGAGGACGTATTTAAAAGAAAAGAATCAGGAAGAACAGTTCGAGGAATTTGATAAAACGAAACTAAATGAGGTACTGTGCCTGTTATTTTTCTTTGCTTTTATTATAAAAGACACAAAGGGGTAATAAATTCGTTACACGGATTTTTGGCAGGGTATACGGGATGGTATGACCCTACAGGATTTCGTATTACGAAACCCTTGAGGGCCATTACTCCATTTCTTGAATTGATTATCATAGAATACAATTCGTTGTGTATCAAAGAAATATAGGTATGTAAACGGTTACAAATCATTGGGCTTTAAGAAAGGTACGTACTTGATAAAATTTGTGATTAAACATTCCATCTTATCTCATCGCTTTTGTCAGAGATTTTTTTTAACTTCATATTACAAAAATACGAATAAAAACACCTTTAGTTAAAACAGACTTTCCAATCAATACACAAAGACATGCACACTTGCGAATGTTCAAATTTCTAGTAAAATTTGCAAATACTATAAGAATAAATATCACAGATATATACTTTGATTTGAACCAGAAAGTAAACTAATATTGATGTAGTATGGACTCTTTTCAAAAACATAAATCAATAATCAATACAAAAATATTTTCAAACGTTCAAAAGAAATGTATATGGTTTTGCGTATTTAATGCTTTTCCGGATATTGTTGATCTAGTGAGGAAGGATTAGACTGGCCCGCTGCCGGGGGAGGGTAGGCTTGTGGCGGTGCTGGGTAGGCTTGTGGCGGTGCTGGGTAGGCTGGTGGCGGTGCTGGGTAGGCTGGTGGCGGTGCTTGGAAAGCTATCATCGGTGTCTGATTAGAACCTGGTGGTGGGTAGGCTGCCATTGGTGTCTGGTTAGGACCTGGTGGTGGGTAGGCAACCGGTTGTTGTGCTACTCCTTGTTGGTAATACACTCCTTGTTGGGTTGTACCTACTGGAAGTTTAAAATTTTATTATGTAAAAACAAGTACCCGTTAAATGAAAGTGTCAGTATAATTATGTACTTTCACACGGTAACGTCATTCCCATTTTTTAAACTATAGTGATGTCAATGGAAAATATGATGACGACTATTGCAATTCTTCAATGAAATATCAATGTAAAATGCAAAATTAATTAAAAAAATATTTTACAGTTTTCTACATTATTTCAATACCAATCATGGAATATTCACAAATATTTGATGAATGTTTAATTTTTGGTAATTAATTAAAATAAGTAAACTGCAATACACTATACACATGTTTCGGGTTTCGATGACTTGGTGATATTAGCGACTAAAAAGGTTAAAATCCAAATTGGTCCAATGTACTTTTGAAACAGAAGGGGAATCATATTAGACGAGCGTATCACTCGGACAAAGCGACCAAAGGCGTATGTCCATTACTTGGTCTTATTAGGTTATTTTTTACATTTCCCACCATTAGCAAAGACACTCGCGATAAAACCCCTCTACACACTTTGAACATGCCATTTTTAATGCTCTTGAAGCGACACTTTGGGGATGATTCAAATATACAAGTCTAATGATTTTGATAAAGATGAAAGAAATCGCGCAGCAGCGTAACGATAACTTTGACTGGCTTTGAAATATAGGAGTAGCTTCTCAATTGTCTTCAAAGGATTGGTATGGTAAGGTTTTAATAATTGAAATCAATCAAACAGGCTGCCGCGAGCCTTCGATGTTCTCCTATTTAAAGAATGAAGCAAAGATATAAGTAGCCTGAACGGAACCCTTCGATCACGCAACGGGAGTACTGTTTTGACAAAATATACTTACCGACTGTTGTGTTTACGCCTGCGGGCTGGTTTGAAATCACCGTTCCGACTGACGTCTTTTTCTTGTTACAATGGTGACACAAGCAGATTAGAAACACAATACCTCCGATGAAACACAGACCTCCAGTCACTGCTCCAACAATGAGACCGACACTTAAAAACAATAACAATCTTCATTACGCTTTATCACATTAATGACCCATTTTACTTTGTCATACATATGATATTTCACACGTGTAATAAAACGTAATGGTACTACGATTGCTCAAACCGTGAGATGATATTATTACAAGATGTACGCCACTACGGGTACCCATTTACTATACCACATGATACATTAACTGTTTTTTCTAAATGAACTTGAAACGTTTATTTTGTCTTAGCATTCTCAATGCATTTAAAACTGATCATTATAAAATATACTGGCACTACTTTTTCACTGCGAGGAACGACAATACTAAGATCAGAGTACTTTGGTTTTGATTTATATAGAATTAGCTGATAACACATTATTGTGTTTTCAGATTTATTTTTCAAATTACGAATGTTGTGTGAAAAATACAATCTTATATTCGTGTTCAGGTCATATTGAATTTATTAAACTCGTTCATAAAATTGATATGACACTCGTGTCATATCATATTATTGAATCAATTAATTAAATCAATATGACATGGACATCCGTGTAAGATCCTCTATATCTAATTACAATTTATATTTGTTTTAATACAAAAGTTCGTTTAAGAAATCGTCTATGAAAGTTTTACACAAAAATAACCAAACAAGTGAAAGTCGTCTGTACGAGATAGAAAATATATCTGGCCATTTGATATACAGAACCTTTTTGAAAGAAAAAAATATTTACAATGATTTTTATAATGCTGATATCTTTATGGTGTTATGTTTCTGTTCTGAACTTACTATGAAGGGCAACACTGTAAGGAATAGTAGGACCCACAGCAGCCATTATCGCAGTAGACAGAGTATTCGTAGAAGTTGGAAGTATATATGTTCCCTTCACACACCTCTCCCGCCAAAGCACCACCTTGTAAGAAGTGAAATGAACAACGTAGGAAAGATTACTTATTGACTCTACAGTTAATGTGGTCATACCATAGAACTGGACAGAATTTCAAAAATGTCAAAAGGCAAAGGCAAAATAGCAATTATATAAATGTTCCTCAAAGAGAAAACCCATAGAACTACAGTCAATGCCTATAACTCACTTTAAAAAAACGTGTTTAGAAACGTTTTCCGTGACAGTAAATTCACTCTCTGACGTCGCTATACAGTCGAGATTATCCTTGCCCCGATTGCTTGAGGTTGACTAGAGTTGACCAGTATTTAGAGAGAAAACATCAATATGAATACAACAAAATGAAAAAAGCATTTAATATCACTTCAAAGCTATGTATTTACTGAGAAAGTCAACATTGATCTGTTTTGAGCATTTATTTTGCTTTTAAAACCCCAGTTTCTTATTGGGATAATTTGATTTTTTAACTAACAGCTTGTGTTTTTCTGACATATTGTACATACTCTTATGGCAATATACTATCTTATCGAACATTATCTGTTCATTCTGTGGACCCTTGATAAGTTGTTTCATTAACATCAACAAGTCAATAATTCAGTTATATCTTAAATTATATATGGACGGGTATACCCTCCATTTTGTAAGCTATGCTAAGCTCCTGGAAAGTTTGTATTTACTTTTTGTTAATATCGGTGACCACTGTTTTGTTGCTATGGTATCATGTTTTCTATGATAGTATGAATCGAACATTTGAATGATAAAAAGATGGAAATCCAAATTGGTCTGAACAACAGTTGAAACAGAAGAGAAAGATGAGGTGTACGTAAGATTGCATTACTATATAAATTTCAGAAATTAAATAAGTACTAGTGTTTATTTCAAATTGATAATGAGTATGATAGTATGTGTGTTGTGAACCGTGGTACTAGTCGAAAAAATAACTGTTCATCAAGGTTTTAGCAAACCTTGCGGGGTGGGGGGGGGCAAAAGGGGGGCGAAAGAAGCTGTGACTTCTACCCTGTGCCTAGCAATGTGAACTTAACACACACATACACACACACACCGCACACACACACACACACATACACACACCGCGCACACACACACACCGCAAACACACGTGTGAATGCATATATATAATGACAATAGAGACAGTATGTAAAACATTAATAAACCGCATCATGCAGCTGATCATTGATATTAGGGAACACAAGATATATTATACAAAATGTACATTGAAATGTAGATTCAAATATTTTAATGCATTAAAATGTTAATAATTTTATATCAAAATAACCGCCATTTTCTATTCTATACATTATACTTAATCGTTCTAAAAATATGGTTTATAAGTGTCATACAAATGTTATTTCGCAAGGATATCCCATTCATTCATGCTTTTGTATTACCAATAGGTACATGTAACACATTAATTAAAATTCCTTCAGTTTATATTTATGAATAAGAAGGAACAATACGTACGTATGGTTGACCTTGACTTAAGCTTTAAAATACACGCTCGTTTATATGCGGACAAGTACGAAATATTTGGTCCCGTGGTTACACGTTTGACGCACGTACCCTTTAGTTTATACAATAGACTTTTTGAAATCTTTTTGATATCATGATAGGTTATTTCACAATATTTTGTATTAAATGGATTATATATAAATTTATCTTTTTATTCTATAAATGTATTAAACTTGAAATATTATATTAGCTATCTTGACAATCAATAAGGTTTTGAGAAAATACATGTCGTTTACTCGCTTCTATTGTATTACATCCCATTTACATCATGATGAACTATTAAAGTCCGCCTGTGTCGATACCCCCACACCTCTTTACTTTAAATCAATAACAATGTACTGCACCAAGCTGGCATACAGTTGACAAACATGTATTAGTTCATGCATCGCATCAGCTATTTACACTCACCGAGAGAGAAACCCTTAATGAAAAGTAAAACTCGTTTGATCAATCAATCAGGGTAGTTTTTGTTGGCAGAAAATCGACATCCAAAACTCATCGATCAATCTCTGTCAAACAGTACAGTACTGAACATCAAAAAAATATGAAACTATTCACAAACCATGTTCTCCTGAACTATTATCTTATGGTTCATCTTTGTCGGGAGCCTAGCTTTATTAAAATCTTCTTGACTCTTGTTATTATAGAAATTCGATTAAGAATCTGCACTGTACTTTGAACCAAAGTTTTCTTGTTAATATACGTGTATACTCTATATTGAACAGCCAAGGCAAACTGTGTAAATAATTAATTTACGTCATTACTGATTTAAAATACAACAGACTGCCCTATACATTGAAATGAATAAGTACAAGCGTATGTACTGTTCCATTGTTTAATCCCCCTCGCCGAGATAATAATGCATGTGTATTGTTGGCAATAAATATAACTTTGTGTACCAATCAATATATGAACACAATACAGACACGTTAACACTTGTACCTGGGTACATGCACAGTGAAGCGTTAACGGGGTCTCATGTCGTCTGCAGGATATAGCTATTTGGTAGTGAAGCTGACGTTAAACCACCCACCTAAACATGCATACAACGGGGTCAGGAGAATTTGCGATGACTGCGGTAACATAAAACTTCTTAACTAGCACGATGTCCTTCATCCTCAAGCTAGTCTTCTTGTCTCATCAACTAGGTGGCACACACTGAGCCTTATATTTTGCTATGACATATTACAGTGGGTGCAGATAGCGTAAGTGAGCGTAACCCATGATTATCGAAGATATATGTCCTTAACTTACTTTACCTTAATAAATTTCACAATTTTAAATTTTAAATATATTTTTAGAGTTAGATTTTCTGCAATTCATTCACGTTTTCAAATACAACCTTTAATTCCCATCAGTTTACACAGTTAGATACTTCAGTGGCGTACAATGTTTTACTCTTGTTATTAAGACGCTAAAATGTATGGTAGACTAATTCGCTTAGTCAAATCTGCAAGATGTCTTCAGTTCAAATTACTTGTATCTTTCTGATATAATTTAAGATATGTTCCAATACGTTTAGTTCACAATATCATAAAATATGAGGCTCATCGAGGGTCTCCATAAAATCATATTTACAAATATTTTTTAAAAACTTTTTCTTTACCGCAGAAGTTTAGACAGAGAAACAAATATGAAAAAATACAGTATTTGTATTACTACATGAATTAAAGATTTAAAGAGAGATACTACCTGCGTTGGGATATTGTTTCATATACAGTAGTATGCTCAGTATTGACAATGGCTTTGTTTA